GAAATGGTAACGCACCAATATGGTGGCGATTACCAAAAACGAGGCCGATGAGCAATCCTTGTAGGGGTGTATATCATCCTGTGCCTGTCAAAATTTCGACGGAAAAGCTGACAGAGCCGAACACGGCTAGAGTCTTAGGTCGAATTTGAGGTTTTCTCAGACCCTGATGAAGCTTTGAACGCTTTGAATTGACATGACTAAGTTGTCAAATAGTAGCAAGTGTCCATTTTAAACTCGCGACTCCAAGGAATGACTATAAATTCGGCCCTTGAACTCGGATAATGTATTTTACACCAAGAGCTGAGGTTTACGGCTGATGTCACAAATAGTGAGGAGTTGTCGCGTGGACATGGCAGATACTTTCAGCTCAATAGCAGTCCTATTAAGCTTCGTATTCTGGTTCGTACACACTTTATTAACTCTGTTTGTTGTTCGACGTAATGTTCAATTACGTATACGAAGCTTTAGGTTAAGTGCTCTCGCCCCAAAGCTGTTCCGAGAGAAGTATGTAGGTTGGATAACTCTATGACATCATCTAAGGTGCCACAACAGTCAACACAATGCAAATCTCTATAGGACACCCAGATGCGTCATGTTATATATTACCAGACAACCTATCAACTTTAGGAACCTTGCTCTTGCCCTACCACACTGGTTGGGGCTTATGACGGATTTGAACACGCGTTTTGTTTTGAAGATACTAAAGTCTGTTTTTTTTTTAAAGATAATTCCCCAAGTCAAAAATTTAGTAACAATGGTGCGTACGATAAGTCCGAACTACTGACACTTTTTACCCGACCCGTCATTAATGTCGCACTTTTTACACCATTCGTACCGTTCAGCGTTCCATTTTCCGGTCTATTTTATGGTTGCGTTCCAAAACATAACTGCACCGCAGTAACGCTAACCGGTTCAGACCAATGAACTATAACCAAAAACTGGAATGCGAACACATATTGACGAACGTGAAGCCTAGTGCCGCTGCTGCGGAGGGGATACCTGTTTTTGTCGCACTCATTATGTTAAATGGCGGAAATTGCTTCCAACACGTATTCCAATTGATGAAACCTGTGAAGGTAAATATGACAAAACTTTCGAAAACGTCATATGTCAGCGAGCAACAGAAAAAAACAACATTCCCCTTTGTGGCATCTGTCTTTCATGGCTACATTTTTTTGGCAGATATGGCAATGTGTGCGCATTCCAGTTTTTGACTATAGTTCATTGGTTCAGACAAATCGTACGCACCATATGTTGGCAACACAAGCCTTTTTTACATAAAAAATTTGAAAGCATTGACAATTTTACATTGTATTGCCAACATAATGTCATTTTGACTTTTATCTACTCCGAGCCACTAGCTGCTCCAGAGCTTGTGACTCCTAAAAAAAATCATGTGCAGCGCCGTACACGTAGTAAAAGTGAAAATTCTCAAAAACTATCGCCCCTCCTCATACACCTTTCAAACCTAACATAATGAGTCGTGGTGAAGATGAAGAATCACACAAGATGGAGACGCGCATCTGTAGTGACGACACAAGGGTATCGACGCTTGAGAATAATAGGCAATCTTCTCTGCTTATAATCCTTGGTTTGTGTCAATCGTTCGTCGGCTGTCATTTTCATGGGTTGTTTTCTCCGTCTCTCTACGTTATATCTTCTCTCTCGTGTAACGAAATTTTTCGAAACGTAACGCGTCTTTCAAATAATTCTCCATTCTCGTTCAAATAGATATCAGACCGCGACTCAGTAAATATCATAATAAACAGCAGAGAATAAGGGCGAGTTCTCATGAGCGTAATTTGACATTTCTAGCGTAATCACATGATAATAAGGTGTAATTTGATTTGTAAAATGGCGAATATATCACCAATAAAATCCAACCATTTTATCACGTGATTACGCCAGAAATGTCAACTTACGCTCATGAGAACTTGCCCTAAAAGAAACAAAAAAAAAAAAACAGATACCAGTGATCGTGCTTGTACCACTAATTCCAAAAAATTCCAAAATGGAATTTTTTGGAATTCTTTGGCATTTTTTGGAATTTCTTGGTACTTTTTGGAATTTTTGGAATTTCTTGGAATTCCTTTGGCTTTTTTTGGAATTCTTTGGAAATTTTTAAAATATTTTGACATTTTTTGGAATCTTACATTACGGAACATTTAGCGTGTTCGAAACAGATACAGTGCTCGTGCTTGTACCACAAATTCCAAAAAACTCAAAAAAATTTTGGAATCCCTTGGCATTTTTTGGAATATTTTCGAAATTTTTAGAATTTCTTGGAATTTTTTGGAATCTTACATGCGGAACAGAACAGTTAGGAGTTCTCGAAACAGATACAGTGCTCGTGCTTGTGTACCACTAATTTTAAAAAATTCCAAAATGATTTTTTTTTAGAAATTTTAATGCAATTTTTTGGAATTCGTGGTATGAGCACGTAGTGACGTCACAAGTTTTCAATCCTTGGTTGGTGTCAATCATTCGTCGGCTGTCATTGTCATTGGCTGCCTTTCTCTGTCCCGTTACGTTATATTTTTCTTCTCCCTCATGTAACGAAATTTACCATAACGTGACTCGTCTTTAAATCACTCTCCATTCTCGCCCAAATATCAGACCGCCGCTTTAGAAGTTTCACCTAAAAAGAAAAAAAAATGCAGCTTAAATTTATGAGGTCTATTCCAACACGTCAAAAACAGGTCAAAAACCGTCCTATGGATTGAGATTTGCGTTATGTTGAGGCACGTGCCTCAACATAACAGATGAAGTCATAAAAGTTATCAGGCAACCAACCTTGCAGGCAAACTCCCTCTCTCAAACAACTCTGGTAAATGCCGTCATTTGGTCATTTATCAGTTTCCAAAAATAATCTTCAAGTTATGAGTGAGTAGGTATAGTTCGTTCCACGAAGGTTTGTACTTACGTCATAGCTCACTACTCATAACTGTGGCTGGGTGCGGTAATTGCATCTGCGAACAGAAAGAACAAATTTTACAGACGTCACGTGATCACTCATCTTTTTTCACGTGTCAAAACACGTAACATTTGTGAAATTATGCTCATTTTGCTCGCAGATGCAATAACCGAGCCCAGTCTGTGAATCGTCGATTTCTATTTTGCGGAACTTTTCCTATTGGTCAAAAATATTTAAATTTGATATGACGCGAAAATATTGCCGCAGTCAAAAAAAAATATAAATAAATCTCATGCGAAAATCGCTGGGCTCTTTGTTGCCATCTTTATTTTTTTGTACCCTACGACCTCATACGAAACTGTCAGAATCCGCACTAGGGTGGGTTCGGTAATTGCATCTGCGAGCAAATTTTGACAAACGTCACGTGATCACTTAACTTTTTTCACGTGTCAAATTACGTGTGACATCTGTCAAATTTTGCTGAATGTGCTCGCAGATGCAATTACCGAACCCATCCCTAGTTGGTTTCTTTGGAAAGCGCTAAATATCACACACGTGCCGAAAGTACTTTCAATATGTGTGCTAAAAGTACTTTCAGCACACGTGTGGAAAATACTGCTGACATTATTTGTGATTCAGTTCACAATTTACTTTCCAGCGTGTGCGTTGAAAATGAAAAGAAATGAAATAAGAGAAAATTGGTGTAAATCGGTTTCTGGTCTTAGGAAAAATGGTGTATATCCACTTGTGAGAAAGCGTCTTTATACACTTGTGTGAAATTTGTCACTTTCTACACTCGTACACTAATGTAATATACTAATTATCTTCTCTATTGCAGAGATAAAAGCAACAACCTTGACCCCAATATAATAGGGTACTTGCATGGAAAATCAAATTACTAACTAAACCGATTTGTTATGAATCTTACCGCAAACAAAGTTATAAATTATACAATAAACTTAGAAAAGATTTACCTACAGGGTGTCCTACTTTGGAATTTAGTTGTATCTAAATAAGGGATAACTCGGTTGCTATTGGAGTTAAAATGATGCGTTTTTCGCGAACGTTGACTACTTTTATTATCTGTTTTTATCATAAGAAACAGTGTAATAGAAAAGGACTTTATATCTGTAAGGAGAATGAGAAAGGTCTCCTCTAACACAAATTGTTTCTTATGACAAAAACAGATATAATTTTTTTTCTCGAAAACCATTAGAAAAAACCTATCGAACTTGATATCTAAATTTATTGTACAGAGGTTGTCTCATTTGAAAGAATGTATGTTTGGTTCCAGGTTCCTAAAGTTAAATAGGTTTGTCTGGTAATGGTAATGAGTAACTTGATAACGCATCTGGGGTGCCTTATGGAGATTTGCAATATGTCGAGGTACCCCAGATGACGTCATAAAGTTATCAGGCAGCAGGCAACCGCAACCTACCTCTCTCAAACGACCTTGTGTTTGGTTTACCTATAATTTTTAAAATTATCACTAGAGAAAAACTGATGACAATTCTGTTGACGGCATCTTTCGTTGTTAGTTCGTTTGATAAAAAAGTATAGCCAACGCTCCGCGATGACCACATCCTTATTCTAAGTCCAATAGCAACCGAGTTATCCCCTATGTACAATCCAAATGGGACATCCTGTACATTTATCTCTAATTTTACATTTACATCTAGGTTCTAGTTAGAAGAAATCTTGGGGCATTGAGCAAGCCTAATACCCACAAATGGGAATCCCGGATTTTTATTTTGCTGTGGTAGAAAATTTACTTGACAAGGCGCGAGAAGATTAGGGATAATTTTCCTGAAACATTTCGCGCAATTTGCACGACCTTTTGACGACCACTGTATTTTTGAGCGAGTTCGGTCAGAACCAGAACAGTCAAAAAGAGAATTCGGTTGTTGGCAACTTTTTTGACACATGACACTCCGAACCGTTCGGGTCAAAGTAATGGAACTAATAGTGCAGTTCGTAGGAGTAGAGCAGAACTCACTCTAAAACTTCCGGAGTCGCATTTTTGAAAGCGCTATGAAACCAGTTGTTGATTGTTGATTTTGACATTTTACACATAACCTTTTGACTTCTTAAAGTCATCCTCATCATTCATCAAATATTTACATTTACATAACAAATTTTGTTTTAATTTATTTATTTTTACAAACTGGTGATTAGATCTGAACAAATTTTATTTGCCATTAGTTTTATCTCGATAACCTTCAAGTAAGTTATAGATTTCTCATAACACTTTTACATTTCATGCTACATCATACCATAATAATATTTTTTTTTAAAGCCACACAAAATGTCTCGAATATATACCAAATCCATGGCAGTTTTGGATAAATTCGTGCCCCAAAAACTGCAACCTGTATGGCAACATCCTGCAGGTCCAAAAACGATATTCTTTTGGGCACCAATGTTCAAATGGGTTAGTAATAATAGTAGCATTATTTATTATATTATTATTAATTCAAATTCTTTTCAAGGGTCTTGTAATAGCAGGTATAGCAGATTTAAAGAGACCAGCGGAAAACATAAGTCCACCACAAACAATGGCCCTGGCAGCTACAGGAGTTATCTGGTCCAGATACTCTTTAGTTATAATCCCGAAAAACTACAATTTGTTTAGCGTCAACGTTTTCGTAGCTATAACTCAGCTATATCAACTCTACAAAGCAATCAGGTAAATGAAAAACAAATATGCAGAAGGAAAGAATCAAAATTTTAAATTTCCAGCTATCAAAGAAGTCTCGCCAGCAAACGTCCTACAACATCTTAAATACTGATTCTAGTTAAAATACATAGTTATAAATTTGAATTATACAATACTTTTATCTGATGTATATTTTTTTATTAGAATGGATTTTACAATATTGTAATTTTCAGGCCTAATTGTTTAAATAAATGTTTATACATAAGTTTATGGTATAAATACATATTGTACAGTTGTTTTGGTGATATAAATTATTTTAATAAATTTTTGCGTTTTTTTTCTTTAAATAATCATCTTCAATACAGTTTACCATTTATTTATTAATTATGCTAACATTTAGGAGCCTTATATTATGAATCTCTACAAAAATAAACTAGTACAAATTCAATGAAAACCTGCCAATGCCAATTCACTAGCAACCATTAACTTCCTAAAAGCAACTCTAATAATCTTGAAAGTTTAAAGTTGCTCTGACCGCCTTTAAGTAGGTATTTTTCAGAACGTTGCAAAGGTGATTTTAGATGAATTCTATAAGAATTTACAGTGTCAATTTGGAAGAAAAATCATACAGAAATTCAAAATGTTATGGGGGGGCTAACTTGACGCAGCTATTGTATGTAAACGAAACAGTCTGAGATCATGGTCAAATGGCAATTCGTGAAATAGAGTTTTTAATCGCGAACTTGAAGTAGTTATCAGAAATCGAACATTAATTCGGGATCGGTAAATTAAAGTAAATTACGCGTAGCGACTACAAGTAGAGACACCCCTGGGAAGAAAATTGAATATTGTATACTAAGGTAAATTCTTTTGTGGACTTAACTTGTGAACTTAAATTGTGGACTTAAATAATTGTGAACTTTAAAGATTTGAACTATAACTTATCCATTGACTCTTAGTAATATTCATTCACTGCTTGAATTAATTTTATGCTAGTAAATCGTATACACTTTTAGAGAGTAACTGCAAAGTAGGTAACGATTGATATTAAATAAGGGACTTGATGCAATGTTTTTGAAATTGAAGTTACTAATTTAAGAGAGCCTTGGAGTGAAGAAGTTTGTTTACCTGATTATATAAATAAAGAGATATTAACCATTTGAAATGCAGAGGATTTGTGTACTTATTTCCACCCTTAGCAATTACGAACCCTACCACTGTAGCCACTCTGGTAAAAATCTGTAATAAATTGGAAATCGCTCGCCAACAATCAACATCTTAAACAGTGATACCAGGGCGGGCGCTACACTATGAACCAATCTTTTTTTCTTTTACAAGTTTCCAACACATAATTTCTGCTAGAGAGAATTTGGTGTAGCTGGTCCCATAACCTGTAGATTATTCCAGTAAGAAATTATATTTTTACTTTTACCACTTAGGTACTTGTTTTACCACATCATTCTTTGTTTTTAATCAAGGAAACACTCAAATAAAACACCAAATAAAATCAAATAATTTTTTTTTATTATTGAACAAATATACCAATTAATATTACTATAATCATTAGATGATCTAAACAAATATTCCAAAGTCCAACACAAGCATAATATATTGTATAAAAAATATAATATAAAACTAAATACTATAATGTTCATTTCAGACATTTCAAAAACAATCGTTTACAAAAAGTATAAAAATAGTTAAAAAAAAAAGTCAAGCAGGTACACATTTATATTATGTAATAATATAGGTAACTATTTAAAAAAAAAAAGCCAGTATTGTATAAAAACAGTTTTACTAGCATAAATTCTACTACATTGTAGTAGACTGAAATTTGTTTCCAGCTAGCATATAAATACAAATTTACTTTAAACAAATTTCACAAAAATATATAACAATATCTTATTTAATGTTTAAATCTATATATTTTTATGTTATTGATAAAATACAAGCTTTAATAGTAATCTAACAAAGATGTTATAGCCATGTAAACCAATGTGGCTCTAACTAATTAATAATAATAATATAATTAATAAAGCTTTCATGCCAAAAGTAACATATTTGAGCCAACAAATATTTTCATAAATATAATTTGTGGCTCGCATTTAAAATATTCACAATACAAATACCTGCTTACTTTGAAACAAGAATTTTAAAAAGATTGTTTCTAAAACTGCTGACCATTTTTTCCAATTCCTCAACCTGAGCCTTAAGTTTTATATTTTTAACGTGCAACTCATCAGCCTCCTTTTCGTATTTCTTTTCTTTTTCTCTGCGTTTTTGACGCGATTTACGCGAAGCCTCGTTATTTTTGTCCCGTAATTCGCGATACGTCGACTTTGAGTCTTGTCTACTAGCGGACACTTTGCGCGGTCGACCACGAGGTTTGGTATTCTTTGTTGGCGGTAGATAATCGTCACTAGAACTGCTCTGTTCGATATCGATATCTGAAAAGCGAACTGTAGATGATTTTTTTGAAGGCGGTACGTAGTCTTCGTCGTCGTCCGAAGTTGAGTGTTTTCTTCTGCGAGATTTTTTGGCTGGTATAGGTGTAGGAGGTTCGGAAGAGAAGGCGGTAGTCGTAGGGCTGGTCAGTGCTGAAAGGAACTCCTCGTCTGCGCTTAATATAGTTATGTCCTAGAAAAAAAAAACATATAAGTGTTGAGACTGCAACGTTTTTAAAGGGAGGCACTTATTCGGCTATTCAATTTCATCTATTTAGCTGTCATTATAGATTACAGTGACTTTGTAAGAAACAGTACCTACCAACAAATATGTCTTCTGTAGAACAAAAGTCTACATAGAGAAAATGTCATCAAATATGCCTTATTGGAATAAATACCTACATAGAATTTTTTTTTCTCAATCAAATATTGAGTATAAAATGAGTTAGATTTAACTGTTTCTTCACTCTAAAGAAGGTGAGACAGGCTCTGGTCAATTGAGGATAAATAAGTCGGATTCACATTATGTAGAACAGAACAAGGACATTCATAAATCACGAGTACTTAGACTTCAGAATCTTGAGTCTCATTGACTCTTCATTAACTTCAGTATTTGGTCTCGAGTTATGAGCCACAAATCTTTACCGCCTTCATCAGTTAAGCTTGACTTAAGGATCCTTAGTATAACATTTTTAAAATCTTCAGTTTTGTGTTTTAATTTAAGTATTGTGCCATGAAACTACAAAAAATTATCCAAAGATTCAAGAGCCAATAATAATGAATAATAATTGAAAATTCCGGGAAATCGTGGATTGATTTCCTTTGGCAATCAAGAGCCCTTCATATTTCAAATTCTGATTATTACCGGCTCTTGATTGCGAGAATTGGTCCAAGAGGTTATTCAAACTTTGATTATGATTGGCTCTTGATTTGGTGAAGAGAACCATAAGAAATGGAAGTAATCCATATTCAAAATTGGTTCTTGATTACACTATTATTATTGGCCCTTGATTCGGTTGAAAATGTTTCTAAAGGCAATTGAGAGCCGATTATAATCAAAATTTGGACAATCATTTCCAGATAAATATCTGTACCACGGTTGGAAACATGATCTATCAGAGTTGAAGATAAATGAGTCAGATTCACATTGTAGAACAAGGACATTCATAGGTCACGAGTACTCAGACTCCAGAATCTTTTGAGTCTTGTGTCTTTTCAGAAACCTAAATAAGTATTTGGTTTCCAGGTATGAGCCACAAGTCCTCACTGACTTCGTCAGACTGGAAGTAGTCCATATTTCAAATGTTATTGGCTCTTTGATTGCACTATTATTATTGGCTCTTGATTCGGTTGACATTTCTGAAGGCAATCAATAGCCGATTATAATCAAAATTTGGACAATCATTTCCAGATTTATCCTGTTCACAATCCGATGTCCACAGGTGCAGGTAAATTTATCACCTCTCCCTATGAAATAGCATTGAAAGGTGATAAATTTTACCTGTACCTGTGGACATCGGATTGTGAACGGATAATAAATATCTGTACCACGGTTGGAAACATGATCTATCAGAGTTGAAGATAAATGAGTCAGATTCACAACATAGAACAAGGACATTCATAAGTCACGAGTACTCATAGACTTCAGAATCTCTCCAGAAACCTAAATAAGTATTTGGTTTCCAGGTATGAGCCACAAGTCCTCACTGACTTCGTCAGATAAGCTCGACTTTAAAATCCTCAGTATTACCGTTTCATAAGAACTGGAAGTAGTCCATATTTCAAATGTTATTGGCTCTTGATTGCACTATTATGATTGGCTCTTGATTCGGTCGACATTTCTGGAGGCAATCGAGAGCCGATTATAATCAAAATTTGGACAATCATTTCCAGATATATCCTGTTCACAATCCGATGTCCACAGGTGCAGGTAAATTTATCACCTCTCCCTATCAAATAGCATTGAAAGGTGATAAATTTGACCTGTACCTGTGGACATCGGATTGTGGACGGATAAAATATCTGTACCACGGTTGGAAACATGATCTATCAGAGTTGAAGATAAATGAGTCAGATTCACAACATAGAACAAGGACATTCATAAGTCACGAGTACTCATAGACTTCAGAATCTCTCCAGAAACCTAAATAAGTATTTGGTTTCCAGGTGTGAGCCACAAGTCCTCACTGACTTCGTCAGTTAAGCTCGACTTTAGGATCCTCAGTATTACCGTTTCATAAGAACTGGAAGTAGTCCATATTTCAAAGGCTATTGGCTCTTGATTGCACTATTATTTTCGGCTCTTGATTCGGTTGACATTTCTGAAGGCAATCAATAGCCGATAATTTCCAGATAAATATCTGTACCACAGTTGGAAACATGATCTATCAGAGTTGAAGATAAATGAGTCAGATTCACATTGTAGAACAAGGACATTCACAAGTCACGAGTACTCAGACTTCAGAATCTTTTGAGGTTTGTATCTGTTCAGAAACGTAAATAAGTATTTGGTTTCCAGGTATGAGCCACAAGTCCTCACTGACTTCGTCAGTTAAGCCAATTTGTACAATCATTTTCAGATCAATATCTTTCACCAAGGTTGAAAATATGATTTATAAGAGTTTCCTTCAGAAATGTTAAAATTTTGACATCAACAATTAATCATTTTGGACACCGCAAACTACATGATGTCAAGAAGAATTATCCAGTGAATCAAGAGCCGATAATAGTTGAAACTTTGCACAAAGTAATCAACTGAGGATAAATGAGTCAGATTCACATTGTAGAACAGGGACATTCATAAGTCACGAGTACTCAGACTTCAGAATCTTTTGAGTCTTATATCTCTTCAGAAACGTACATAAGTATTTGGTCTACAGTTATGATCCACAAGTCTTCAACTGACTTCGTCAGTTAAGATCGACTTTAGGATCTTCAGTATTACGTCTTTAGAATATTTAGTTTTGTGTGTTTTAATTAAAGGATCTTCAAAAAATTATCCAAAGATTCAAGAGCCAGTAATGGAGAATACCTAGTTGAAAATAATGGGAATTCGTGGAATGATTTCCTTTGGCAATCAAGAGCCTTTGATAGTTCAAATTTTGATTATTAACGGCTCTTGATTGCATTAAGAGAATTCGTGCAGGAGGTCATCCAAATTTTGATTGGCTCTTGATTTGGTGAAGACAATCATAAGAACTGGAAGTAATCCATATTTCAAATGGTATTGGCTTTTGATTGCACTGTTATTATCGGCACTTGATTCGGTTGATAATGTTTCTGAAGGTAATCAAGAGCCGATAATAATCAAAATTTGGACAATCATTTTCAGATCAATATCTGTAACAACGCGATTGCCTGTAAGGAGAATTATCCAGTAAATCAGGAGCCAATAATAGTTGAAATTTTGATTATTTCCAACTTTAGTTGGCAATAAACATGTGCATAATGCATAATAATGCAATCAAAACCTGGTAATATTCAAAAGTACTACTCTTGATAACTCAAAAGCCTCCCCTAGAAAACATACCTAACCTAAAGCAATGAAAATTCTTACCTCATTATTGACCAAATCCAAAATATTGAACTCGTTCCCCATATTGACGACTCCGTCAATAACATCAGGAGTATTCAAAGTGGACAATCCTTCCTCTTTAAAAGGATACTTGAATTCTTCCGTCATCAAGTTCAACTTCAAATTATTAGGATTGTAATCGTAATAGTACTGTTGGGGTACCTCCAAATCCATTTGTTGATCGGGAGATGAAACGTACGAGTATCGGTCATCCTGAGGCGATGTTGCCGTAGAATTAGATTTTTTAATGTTATTACTGCTTAAACTTAAATTACTAGCGAATGGTGTTGGATTATTCAGTGGTTTGTTATAAGATATTATTTGGGCATAGTCGTCGTCCAACGATGCGGTACTAACGCTAAATGTTTCATTATTTTTATCATTGGCTAACAAGCCGCATGGGTAATATTGTGCATTGAGCTCGACTTTTACTTTTAAGTTGGTTGTTGGAGTTGATGCGGTCTTGGCCGAATTGGTTGCGCAGAAATCAAAGGCTCCTTTATCTGGAAAAAATAGAGAAAAATTCGAAATTTAATTAAAAATGTATTTGAATGTTTTTTTAATTAAATCTGCTGTGTGATGATGGTGGGAAGCAGTAATTTCCCGATTGGCGTTTCTTTCAACGCTGTTACTTACCGAAAACTGGAGTGCTCAGTTCATCTACAGAGCCTGTTAAATCTAGATTTTCGACCGACAAAATGGTCGACAGATCGCTGAATTCCTCCATTTTCAGCTTGTTTGTCGCTAACTCGTCTTTTAATGTTAAATAGTCCTGATTTACACTCACCTAGAATTTAAAGAGAAAAAGACAACTTAGAGAGGTGCTCTTTTGTCAAATTTTTTAAAATAAATGAAGTAAAGCTGCTTTTTTTGTCATAAATTAGTAAAATCTCAATATGGTGAACACAAATTGAAATGATCACAGCAAAAGACTAAAGTATTGAGCTAAAAATTTACAACTTTTAAGTTAAATCAAAGTTTGAGTTTGAAACTTTAAGAGAAATCTAGGTAGAAACAATTTTCTGGATGAAAAATTAGGTATGAGTTCTTCATTAAAAAAACATGTACATGGTCTACCAAAAAATATTAGCTCTAAGTAGGTATTTATGACTTTTTTGCAATTAAATAATATTTTATTCAATAATTCGTCAGCGTAATTCCGCCAATTAAAGATTTTTTTCCTAGTGTAAAAGCAACTTAAGTGCTCTATTTTCCTTTTAAGCCAAGTTGACACGGTCCAAGTCCGTACTTGGATCAAGTAACCTTCGACGATATTTCGGATCTATCAACTGTTTTATCCAAGTCCAGTTTTTTTAGGTCTTAACATCCAAGTAAGTAAACTGACTGCTAACTAACTTGGTCTAAGTTCTCATCCAAGTGCACTTAGACCGTATGTCAACCTGGCTTTAGCTACAAAAGTTTGCATTTGAAAAATAATAACCAAGCACCAAAATATAAAAACGTGCCATATAGATACGTGTGCTCCTGTCTCAGATTCTCCTTCCAGACTCAGAACTCATGCACTCTGATGAATTTTTAAAATCAGTCAATAATTCACCAATATAAAAAAAAACACTAATTTATTAAAGTTTTATTATTTGATACACTTTGTTCTGGTTTGCCGTTGAGGATGGACCGATTTTGTCATGTACATCACCTAGTTGAAATCAAAATTTAAAATACAAATTATTGATTTTAAATTGTTATTTTTTGTTGACCTGCTGCTACTACTGACTCTCAAACATGAATGAAGCCTGAACTACAAATGAAAGCATTCATCCCAAAGTTTTTGAACAAAAGCACCGGTTTTTATTAAACTTGTAGAGACTTGTTGCATATTTGATACCTAAAGCATAATAATTTTGGCCTTGAGTGACTCGAGACAATATAGATGAGTCAAATATCAACTACATAACGGACTCAAGAAATAATTCAAATTTTTCTGATTTTCAAAGTGGCATCACCAGAATCATCCAAATAAACTGGCACAAAAAAAAAAGTTACCTGTTGCGGTTGTTCGGCGGTGATTGTCTCCAGGATCGGGTTGACTTCGTAAGGATTTACGAATTGCATCGTTTCCATATTGATGAAGTCTCCTAAGTCTTGCATATGAGTTGAGTGTTGGTGGAGTTCTGTCGTATGATTGCTCTGGTACGTTTCGTACAGTGTGGGCGCTGGTTTCTCGCCATGAGGCTGCTTGAGCGGGTACGGATTGGGTGAAAACCATCTTGAAAGGGACTGAAAACCAAAAGAAAAATGTTAGGAAATTGTGTAACTTTTGGGTGTCAATGTTATTTTAAAGTGTTAACAATGCAATAAGAGGATGGTTCATGTACCAATTTCCTTTTCTAGTTCCTTAATTTTATCTGTTTCGGTATTTTCTTTTTCCGTAACTTTTCACTTTTAGTCTTAGAGAAATGGCCTTGGCGATAGTTAGCTTTTTATGGGAAAGAAACGGAAAAACTGGACTTGTTTTTATTGAAATGGGAAGAAAATTACGTGTGTGATCCTCGATTTCGGACAATGAATTAGGGACGCATGCCATGCCATCCGCACCAAAACAGTTTTTACAGTTATTTATTATAGTTTATTAGGGACTACAGAGTATTCTAATATTAATAATAACCGCGGATGTAACTTGAAAAACATATTATTGTCTCTCCAATTTTCGATACGGTACCACCGCATTTTGTAACAGAGGGATTTGGAAGAGTGTTCTAGAATACTGTTTCAGAATAATATGAAAAAACTTAATAAAAGTCAGATGTTTATTCCCATTTCAACTTTATTTCCAAGCATAAAAGATATTTTAAAACATAAATCCTGGAAATTTAATATCACTGTGACTCCTAGAAGTATTTTTGGCAGGCTCCCAAATGCGATTTTAGAGAAAATTTTTGAATTTTCTTCAAAGATATACATGAGGAAAATAATATGAACTTTATTTTCAAGCTCTGGATCAACTTAAAGAGTATTTTTCCTAAAGAAAGAAACTTTAATCCATAAATCCTGGAAATTTAATATCACTCTGACGATTAGAAGTATTTTTGGCAGGTTCCCAAATGCGATTTTAAGGAAAATGTTTGAATTATCTTAAAGATATATGAGGAAAACAATTTCAACTTTATTTCCAAGTTGATCCCGAATCAACTGAAGGAGTATTTTTCCTCAAGGAAAGAGATTTTAATCCATAATTCCTGAAAATTTAAAGTCACTGTGACGCCTGGAAGTATTTTTCACAGGCTCCCAAATGCGATTTTAGGAAAAAAAATTGACACAAAGAAAACAATTCAACGTTATTTCCAAGCTGTCGATGAATTTGAAGTGTATTTTTCCTAAAGAAAGAGATTTTAATCCATAATTCCTGAAAATTTAAAGTCACTGTGACGCCTAGAAGTATTTTTCTCAGGCTCCCAAATGCGATTTTGGGAAAAAAAATTGACACAAAGAAAACAATTCAACATTATTTCCAAGCTCTGGATCAACTTGAAGTATATTTTTCCTAATGAAATAAATTAATCCTAGAAATATTAAGTCACTGTGATTCCTAGAGGTATTTTTTACAGGCTCCTAAATGCGACTTTAGAGAAAATTATTGAATTATCATTGAAGATACACAAGGAAAACAATTTCAACACTATTTCCAAGCTCTCGATGAATTTGCAGTGTATTTTCTCTAAAGAAAGAGATTTTAATCCATAATTCCTGGAAATTTAAAGTCACTGTGACGCCTAGAAGTATTTTTCTCAGGCTCCCAAATGCGATTTTGGGAAAAAAAATTGACACAAAGAAAACAATTCAACGTTATTTCCAAGCTCTGGATCAACTTGAAGTATATTTTTCCTAATGAAATAAATAAATCCTAGAAATATTAAGTCACCGTATTTTCACAGGCTCCTAAATGCGACTTTAGAGAAAATGATTGAATTATCATTAAAGATACACAAGGAAAACAATTTCAACGCTATTTCCAAGCTCTCGATGAATTTGCAGTGTATTTTCTCTAGAGAAAGAGATTTTAATCCATAATTTCTGGAAATTTAAAGTCACTGTGACGCCTAGAAGTATTTCTCGCAGGTTCCCAAATGCGATTTTGGGAAAAAAATTTGACACAAAGAAAACTGTTGGATTTTCTAATAATTATTCCTGATTTTTATATTATTATTTATATTATGGTGCAATCTATCCTTATTGTATTGGTTACAAGTATTGGTGCAATATCAATTCTCCCAAAACATAAAAAAACCCACAAGAAGGAACAAGTTTTTTAATATGCTTCTTCCCCCCAAATTCCAATAATGGACTCTTCCACACCTAGATATTTTAAGGGAAGCGCCATTTCTGTATAAATTCCTAGGGGAGTCGTGAGTTGGCTATCGCATAAATAGGTACTGTGCTACCCGCCGTATTGAAGAAGCGGCGTCGCGAAGTCGCGTCCAAATTTAAATTAATTAGCAAGAAATTGCTATTGCACAAAATACAGACAATAAATAAAAAATGTAACTTTGTTTATTGCCGATTGTCATCGTAATGTTTTGAAAAGTTAATACAGTCCACTTTTATTAAGAACAACCCGGTGTTTCGTAATTATTTTCTATTACATAACCTCTCGGGTAAAAATGAGCTATTGAAGCTTTTATGTGTTAACAAAAACAATTCAACGTTATTTCCAAGCTCTGGATCAACTTGAAGTATATTTTTCCTAATGAAATAAATTAATCCTAGAAATATGAAGTCACTGTGATTCCTAAAATTATTGAACTATCATTGAAGATACACAAGGAAAACAATTTCAACACTATTTCCAAGCTTTCGATGAATTTGCAGTGTATTTTCTCTAAAGAAAGAGATTTTAATCCATAATTCCTGAAAATTTAAAGTCACTGTGACGCCTAGAAGTATTTTTCTCAGGCTCCCAAATGCGATTTTGGGAAAAAAAATTGACACAAAGAAAACAATTCAACATTATTTCCAAGCTCTGGATCAACTTGAAGTATATTTTTCCTAATGAAATAAATAAATCCTAGAAATATTAAGTCACTGTATTTTCACAGGCTCCTAAATGCGACTTTAGAAAAAATGATTGAATTATCATTAAAGATACACAAGGAAAACAATTTCAACGCTATTTCCAAGCTCTCGATGAATTTGCAGTGTATTTTCTCTAGAGAAAGAGATTTTAATCCATAATTTCTGGAAATTTAAAGTCACTGTGACGCCTAGAAGTATTTCTCGCAGGTTCCCAAATGCGATTTTGGGAAAAACATTTGACAAAAAGAAAACAATTCAACGTTATTTTCAAGCTCTGGATCAACTTGAAGTATATTTTTCCTAATGAAATAAATAAATCCTGGAAATTTAAAGTCACTGTAACGCCTGGAAGTATTTTTCTCAGGCTCCCAAATGCGATTTTAGGAAAAAAAATTGACACAAAGAAAACAATTCAACCTTATTTCCAAGCTCTGGATCAACTTGAAGTATATTTTTCCTAATGAAATAAATTAATCCTAGAAATATTAAGTCACTGTGATTCCTAGAGGTATTTTTTACAGGCTCCTAAATGCGACTTTAGAGAAAATTATTGAATTATCATTGAAGATACACAAGGAAAACAATTTCAACACTATTTCCAAGCTCTCGATGAATTTGCAGTGTATTTTCTCTAAAGAAAGAGATTTTAATGCATAATTCCTGGTAATTTAAAGTCACTGTGACGCCTAGAAGTATTTTTCTCAGGCTCCCAAATGCGATATTGGGAAAAAAAATTGACACAAAGAAAACAATTCAACGTTATTTCCAAGCTCTGGATCAACTTGAAGTATATTTTTCCTAATGAAATAAATAAATCCTAGAAATATTAAGTCACTGTATTTTCACAGGCTCCTAAATGCGACTTTAGAGAAAATGATTGAATTATCATTAAAGATACACAAGGAAAACAATTTCAACGCTATTTCCAAGTTCTCGATGAATTTGCAGTGTATTTTCTCTAGAGAAAGAGATTTTAATCCATAATTTCTGGAAATTTAAAGTCACTGTGACGCCTAGAAGTATTTCTCGCAGGTTCCCAAATGCGATTTTGGGAAAAAAATTTGACACAAAGAAAACTGTTGGATTTTCTAATAATTATTCCTGATTTTTATATTATTATTTATATTATGGTGCAATCTATCCTTATTGTATTGGTTACAAGTATTGGTGCAATATCAATTCTCCCAAAACATAAAAAAACCCACAAGAAGGAACAAGTTTTTTAATATGCTTCTTCCCCCCAAATTCCAATAATGGACTCTTCCACACCTAGATATTTTAAGGGAAGCGCCATTTCTGTATAAATTCCTAGGGGAGTCGTGAGTTGGCTATCGCATAAATAGGTACTGTGCTACCCGCCGTATTGAAGAAGCGGCGTCGCGAAGTCGCGTCCAAATTTAAATTAATTAGCAAGAAATTGCTATTGCACAAAATACAGACAATAAATAAAAAATGTAACTTTGTTTATTGCCGATTGTCATCGTAATGTTTTGAAAAGTTAATACAGTCCACTTTTATTAAGAACAACCCGGTGTTTCGTAATTATTTTCTATTACATAACCTCTCGGGTAAAAATGAGCTATTGAAGCTTTTATGTGTTAACAAAAACAATTCAACGTTATTTCCAAGCTCTGGATCAACTTGAAGTATATTTTTCCTAATGAAATAAATTAATCCTAGAAATATGAAGTCACTGTGATTCCTAGAGGTATTTTTTACAGGCTCCCAAATGCGACTTTAGAGAAAATGATTGAATTATCATTAAAGATATACAAGGAAAACAATTTCAACGTTATTTACAAGCTCTGGATGAACTGGCAGTATATTTTTCCTAAATAAAGAGATGTTAATCCATAAATCCTGGAAATTTAAAGTCACTGTGACGCCTGGAAGTATTTTTCTCAGGCTCCCAAATGCGATTTTAGGAAAAAATTTTGAATTATGTATCTTTAAAAATACACAAGGAAAACAATTTCAACTTTATTTCTGAGCTCTGGATCAACTTGATGAGTATTTTTCCTAAAGAAAGAGATTTTTCATCTATAAATCCTGGGAGATTTAAAGTCGCTGTAACGCCTAGAAGTATTTTTCGCAGGCCCCAAATGCGATTTTAGGAAAAAAATTTGAATTATGTATCTGTAAAGATACACATCAAGGAAAACAATTTCAACGCTATTTCCAAGCTCTTGGAAGTGTATTTTTCCTAATGAAAGAGATTTCAATCCAAAAATCCTGGAAATTCATAGTCACTGTGACGCCTAGAAGTATTTTTTACAAGCTCCCAGACAGATTTTAGCTTTGGAATCAAAGCGAAAACAAGTTTTGTTTGGGCAATTACTAACATATTTCATTCAAAATTCAAAAAAGATAAAATTAAGTTAAGTCCAGTTAAATGAAATTAAATTTTTACATAAACCCACCTTAGTTGGGTTAGTTTACACTGTAATATTTGGAGAAAATGCTAAATTCAGAAAAAAAAAAAAAATAGATTTACTTACATTAGATTCGCCTTTAGTGGTTGCTGAAATCTTTCTAGCCTGAGGGCCTACCAAAGGAAGAGTTGAGGTTTACAAACGCCCAACCTGAAAAAAAAATACCATTGGCAACTTTGTCAACTTTTATTTATGATAGAAAGGAAAATAAAGCCCAAAGTCAAAGTCTCAGAATGGTCTCAGATATCTGAGACTTTGAGAACCATGGACTATTTATTCGAATTTCATTTATGAGACATAAAAAAGTGGAACTAGGTATCTTTCTACCAAGAAAAACAGATAAATTAATTAGGTACCTATTTATTTGTTTTTCTAGGAATTTCAAAAATAAATAGGTACCTACATTTTCCTGGAATAAGGCTTTTATGTAACAACAATTGATTAAATTCCTAATTAATAGCTTATTCAATTCAAGTACTCAATTAATTATTGCACAACATTCTTCCTAGAAACATCATTCCTGTTATAGGATCAAAAAACAAACAGAAATGTGTAAAAATAGAAAGTATTGATTTAATAATGGAGCAGAATTGCTAATTAACTGCCTAACTGTAAAAGTGTAAAAATAAACGAATAAACTTTTTAATAATTCCAAATAAACGCCCACGTACTCCCATGGAGCGCGACGCCGCAACGTCGCTGACGTCACGCCGGTATTTTACAAGCTCAGACAAGTTCGCTCGACAAAGCGCTGTTGCCGGATATTTTTCCCTAGAAACAAAAAATCCTACACATTTGAGGAATAATTTCACCTGTTCGATAGGTGAAATCCCAAAAACGTAGGACAAAGTTCTTTAATCTGGCAACAATGTAACAAATTTCCCTCGCAAACTTTTCAAAAAATCTGATTGAACTGGCAATTTTCATCATAAATGCATGCTAAATTAAAGATAATTGTAGATAATGCTATGGAATTAAATTGAAATTTTTTCATAGGTATGTACTTCAAGTCTCAAGGTTAAAAATGCAATAAAGTAATAGGTATCCACTTGGAATCTAATTTGAATTTGAGATTAAATATTTGCTAACTAGTACAAAGTTAATGGAACTGATAAAATAAGTTGTGGAAAGTAAGTACATACTGCGCATTAAACAATCAGGTTTGGATGAATAACGTAAAATACTTTTTAAATGTCTCAAAGAATAGAATGAAAATAAGTATTCTCTGAAGTTTGAAAATAAGAACAAAATCTTACTTACTCGAAAGTCACTTTTTTCGCTCGCTCTCTCGGAAAAACTTTTAGAACTTCCAAACACAAAAACAAATTTGAAAAAATTCTGTTTTCAATCGCTTTCTAGCAAAAATTACAAAACCAGAGTTGTTAGGTCTAGGATGGCAGAAACTCTTCTGACGTAAAATCGCGCCTTCCCATTCAGATAATCGATTCCCGGCAGTTTTAAAAAAGGATATAATAGTATCGTTGTTTCCTTCCAGCACGCGCTACTATATAGGAAGGTGTGCATAGGATTGGAGGCTCGTTTGGTCACGATCGGCCAATCGTACGGCGTTATTTTCCGGTCACAAGTTCTCGGAATGACTCAACAATTTTGGTCCGTCGAGCCGGATAAATTTCTCTCCCACTGTGTTGCCGAATGTCCCGGCTGGAAATCTCTTAATGGTGTTAATTCAATATTTGCTTGAAATTTTTTCGTGTCATGGACTCAATTTTGGTTGCTAATTGATTAGATTTTGAGATCAAGTTAGATGTTGTCTGTCTGGAAAAGTACCTACGCATCAAACAACTTAATTTAAAGTTAATAAAGTTGAGGTGGGTACCTACTTAGAAAACATTTTGTATGAAGTTTTAAGAGATTTTTTCCTCAGAATGAACTTTTTTTTAAGTCCTCAAGAAATTCAAACTTGGGAAAAGTCTTAAACAATTATAACCTGAGTCGATTTTCTTCAGTCATGAAATGAAATCGCTTGCTCTCCAAATTTATAGGGCGGCCAAAAAATTATCTTTCATTAATTGGAACTATAGGAAGAATCAAATTATTATGCTATCCCTTCCCCATGAGTAATTTCTAAAACAAACTAAATGGAAATATACTTTTTTTGCACAAACCTACTTTTGTGGATCTACACGAAACCTCATTTGAATCTTCTTAGAAGTGATTATTGAAAAAAGGTTCTTACGTCTTTTCAAGAATCGTCCCTTCTATAACTTTTGTAACAGTATGTATTTTTCCAGACCCAAATATCACGCCTTTTCAAAAAGTTTTAAAAGTTGTTTGAAGAACGACTCGCAATAACGTTTAGAGAACGATTCTTACATGAATGATGGAAACATACTTTAGCAGAACTAAAAACAGTCATTCAAACGTTTTAAAAAATGCTTTGAGAGCCATTTACGAAAAAAAAATCACATACTCGTTACTTCTTAGTGGAACTAAGCTAAGCCCCCTAAGGCATGGCACAATCGGTTATAGTCCCATACCCGATGGGTACCTCTAAACACACCCCTTCAATAAGGGCTGCCTAGTGGTATCTGGAAGTAGGCAAAAATTCACAAAATAAATCACAACGCAACAGGACGCACAAGAAAAAGCTGGCCCTCAAAGTCGCTACCTTCAATGCTATATCCCTGCTACTGTCACAAGAAAGTTTTATCGAAATGGAACAAGCGCTAGGACACACAAAATAGGACACGTGATCGGATTAAGTGAACTTAGGCCACGTATTCTACTATAACGACGATAATAGCTCCGTCAGTGGAGTAGGTTTTCTAGTAAACAAAAAACTGTCCAACTTGAAGAATTTTAAAGCAATAACTACAAGAGTAATATTGCTGAATATACAAATAAACACAAGACAGATATTAAGGATCATCCAGGCATATGCACCAACTCAACATCGACACACCCCTTGATGAAGAAATAGATACATTCTATAAAGACCTACTAAACGCCATCGCAGAGAACCCTACACACTTCACAATAATGCGGCGACTTCAATGCGAAAATCGTAGTGAAAACAGAATCATCAGAAACAGCCGTTGGGAACTTGGGAAGCGCAGGCAGAAACGAAAGAGGAGTACCACTAGCAATTCTTCTTGAAAACTGTTGTGATTACAATATTAATGTAACCTATTATCCTTGAAATAGTAGTTGAGGCCGGATGTATCACTTAAAAAGGAGAAGTGTCTCGTCTGTTAATAATCCAGAAGTTGTCAACTTGTCACTGTTTACAAAGTATATCTCCCAGCATTAAATTACAACAAAAGTTCTTTGTGTAAAGTAATGTGTATTTCATTTGTGTCCTAATTAGTCCTCAGCAACTGCAACCAGTAAGCAAGCAAGGAAGCCATTTCCTTACAATTCCATCGAAAAAGTAGCAAAGGGTAACCTTGACTTGATATATTCTGATATTTTAGGACCATTAGAGGTTACATCTTAGAGTGGATCAAAATATATATTCACATTGATTGATGACCATAGCAAAAAAATATTCTGTTATTTCTTGAAATCCAAAGATGAACTGAGATTTTTTAAGGGTTTTGCAAATTTGTAGAGAATCAGACTGAAAGAAAAATCAAAGTTTTAAGAACTGATAACGTGGGTGAATATTGCAATGAACTTTTAAATAAATTCCTCAAAGATAAGGGAATGAAACATGAACTCACCGGACCGTTCAGCTCACAGCAAAATGGTGTGACTGAAAGGTACAACCGTTTCATTATGGAGGAAGTCCGATCAATGCTGGTAGACTCTAAATCACTAAAACAAACGTGGGCAGAAGCAGCCAACACTGCTGTTTATCTTTTAAAACGTTCTTCAAATAAAAAATTACATGGTTCTACACCAGAGGAGAAATGGACGGGATGTAATGTAAATTTGAGTCATCTAAGAGTGTTTGGATGTAGAGCTCATGTGCACATTCCTGATGCTAAGAGAAGAAAGCTTGATGAGAAGGGCAAAGAGTATTTGTTTGTAGGATATTCTGATACTACTGTTGGGTATACGCTACTGGACCCCAATAATCGTAGTCTGAAGATTGCTCGTGATGTAGTCTTTCTAGAAAATCAGTTGGATTTCACAAAAAATGATGTCCAGGTGCAAGCTGTTGTTCCCATGGAGTAGGAAAATGATTCCAATGAGGTCCCAAACAATGCTGCTCCAATTTCTTCTAAGACTTCTTCAGATTCTCAATCTCATGTAGAAGAAGAAAGTTATATTCAGGAAGTTCGTAGTATCATTGGTATTGTAGGAGAGTGTTTATGAAAATGAAAGTGCTAAAGACAGAAGATATCCTAAACGAGATTCATGTAAGCCAAAAAGGTACAATGGTATTATATGATGATTTTGACAGTGAACCAGATATTGCTATGCTCGCTATATCTCATGAACCAATTACTGAAGCATTATCAAGTGGCCGAAAACTGGAATGGAAATCAGCCATTAAAAATGAGCTAAATGCGCTCAGAAAAAATAATGCTTGGGAATTAGTCGACAAACCCATTAATAAAAATATTGTTAAAAATGAATGGGTATTCAAAAATAAAAGGAACCAAAATGGAGATATAGCAACATACAAGGCAAGACAGGTTGCAAAGGGATTTACTCAACAATTTGGAGTAGATAATCAGAAACGTACCCTCCAGTTATTCGTTACAGTAATCTAAGACTTTTGTTGGCAATGACCGCTGAATTAGATCTTGAGACGGTACATTTAGATGTGGAGACTGCATTTCTGAATGGAGACAGACGAGGCTATATATATGACTCAACCAGAAGGTTTTGAGAGAGACTCTGAAAATAAAGTTTGTTTGCCCAAAAAAGCCATATATGGCTGATAATCGTGAAGATTGTAGTATCAAAAAGCACATGATGTATTATCGGATTTCATCTTCAAACAATCTGAAATAGAACCTTGCATATTTTTCAAAAATAATCAAACCTCAATGGTCATTGTGGCACTTTATGTCGATGATTTCTTTATTTTTCATAACAATACTGATGAGGTTGAAATGTTGAAAATTGAATTGGATAGGAATTTTCATATCAAGGACTTCGGGCCAATTTCATATTGCTTGGGTTTGAAAGTTGGAAGAGATAGATCCAAGGATGAACTGAAATATGAATGAAGAAAAAACTCCATACCTATTTAGCTGGCTCTCAGCCCAACGATGTCCACTTCTATTATAGACATGAGTTTCTTTTAAGATTTTCATTATCATCTCTAAAACCTGTATCTTTCTGGCCTTGTAATATATACGTTGGAATCTTTTCTTTTAATCTTCCATTAGCTACTTGTGTTATGTTGGTTTTATGCATGTTGGTGCCATTTCATGACATCAATTTTCTTCAAGTTCAGGTCTTCATTATTTCCCACAGTTACCGTAAAATCTACACAATCTGGCAACTTAAATGCAGCAAACAGTAAACTGCGGTCATTATAAAATTTACGGAATTCCCCATGTATTATGCATTATGGAACCTTTTTTAATGAAAGTTATAAAGATGTGGTTTGTTATAGGCTTCCTGCAGCGTTTTTAACTTAAATTATTCTTTACTTCTTGGAAAATTGTATTTTCTTTTTTGTGAAGCAAAGGCAATGAACTTGGAATTTACCGAAGTAATTAGAATATTGCTGCAAACACACCCAATGACTATATTTACATAGTGTCAAATCTGTTTTAGATGATTTTCGCACTAATGAGTATAATAACCTCATTATTAAGTTATGATCATGGGAGATTTCCAGACAAAAGTGTTCATTCAAAAATCTCTATTACCTTGAAAATGGAAAAAAAATTTATGGAGATACTATGCCAAAAAAAATATTATTGTTTATAGGTATTATGGAAAAATGGAAAAATACAAAAACGTGATTATTTGAGGGGTTGTTTTTCTAAATAAATACTTTGGAAACATAATAAGTACCTACATAGTTTAAAATGGAGTTCACTGGCAAGAATAATGATTATCCTTTAAAAAAACTGCCTTTTGAGAAACATTAAAATTAAAAAAGATGTAATTTTTCCAATATATTTCTCTCATAACTACGTTTATGTAGAAGCTATTTCCGCGCCGCGAATAAAAATTAATTCGGTTCAGCTCTGTGATATAAACGTAGTCATGCAATTGACTAAGTTTATTTCACTCGGCTATTTCGGACTAATATCGTTGCTAATATTCAATCGGCAATAGAGTTTAAGTTCTTCGATTTCTGAGGTGTGGAGTAAACGTGACCAATATAACAAATAAGCGCATCGGCATTGCTAACGCAATCGAAAACTTACAAGAAATACCTAAATTTTCGCACCATGAAACATTTTTGTTGCATTTTAAAACTATAATTATTTTTACTTACATCATCCCGGTTTTGGTACCCGCGGACCGAAAAATACAAAATTTCCTCGACGATTTTCTTCGGGTAACAGTAACCGAAACAGCCTTAATCAAACGACTATGGAAAATAAGGCTGTTTTGTGGATACGAAAAATTTTCAAAGTCAATATCGCGAACGTCGCGCATATTAGAATTTACCACACAAAAACACAAACTACACTTTTTTTTCAGCGAGTTTAATCAACTTGTAAACAGAATTTTTATTTATTTTTTTTGAAAAAAATTAAACCCTTGCACTTCTATTCAGACCAAACTAGTAGTCTTGGAACATTCAGGCTCCGGGGGAAAGATAGCCTTGGATTTGGAGGATGATTTGGAGCTTTCGCGGTGTAACTACGCGCTATGTTGCCAAATTTCAATAAATAACTACTTAATTATTTTTTTTTTAGCGCTATTTGAGAGTACCTAATTAATACCAACTCAAAATATACTAGTTATTAGGTATACTGGTCCATTTGACTGGACACAGCCAGAGAATAAAGTTTTTCACATCGAAAAGGGTCTTGTTATGAATCTCGCAAGTTGGGGAACATGTGTAATATCTCGCAACTCTGATAACTAGAAAATTCGCGAATGGACTTGTCCAGCAAAAGTTGGCACCCGAAAGAAAAAATCATAAATTAGACGCCAGTGTCAAGAATCACGTCGTGTTGACGTGATAATTAGTGAGACAGTGAATTATATGATTTAAATTGAAAGAAAAAAAGGAGAACAATAAAAATAGACTACAGAAAATTTCTCAAAACCAATACAGATAGCGAGAGCTACAAAAACACACGAATGAAAAAAAAAAAAAAAAAAAAACAGGAAGAAAAAGACAGGTGACGCAAAGAAAAAAGGAAATTGAAGACTGAAAGAAGTTTTCCAGTATCCCTGAAACATCCCAGATCAATCAAAGTCGAAATAGAGAGGGTTCACGAAGAATTTGAGAAGAAATTAATGTAGAAAACTGTAAAGGATGATGGAGAAAATTCACGATAAACCCAATAAAACTCCAGTATTTTGGGGTGACTGTTATGTTAGTCATGGAACCTTTTTAAGCAGTTGTTCGTGGTAATTCAAAAATATATTTTGACCATTCAATCATTGACCATTTAAGTACTTCTCCGACTTTACCACAAATTGGCAACACGGCTATTCTTTTACCAGACGACGCGACGGGTCAATATGCGGATATTCTCGGCCCACCTTCCAAGCCCATGTGAAACAGACACGTCAGGACTTGCTCAATATTGCATCATAATTTTAATTCGGATTTAGGTCGTTATTCGGTTTTGCGCTGGTGCCGTCTTGTTCGAAATTTCTAAGGGGATCGGAAACGACTACTTAAAGCAAATCTTAGCATCATAATCTATCAAAATAGAATTATTATCGGAAAATTATCTACTCTGTTATCAATTTATTATAAAAGTTTAGCGCATGCTCCATGATTTAAAGTTTTTCAGAAATGCTCTGTTATGTGTTTTAGGTTTTAGTGACAATAAAGGTGGGTTTAGCCAAAGTTTAGCCAACTTTTAACAGATAATTTACAATTTTAATTCATAATTGATAATGTGTAATTCATAACGGGTAATGCATAAGAGAAAAGAGGTATTTATATGCAAAATTGTGTAAAATGTGTGCCAAATTATGGTTTATTTATTTTCGAAATTTGTTTAACTTGACCGACCTGCGTAGGTGGATCTCAGAAAATCTATCAGAAAGTTTTGAAGATAAATACAGCGACGTAAAAGTTGACAAAACCCCTCACTGGAATAATTTAGAAGTTCACAGATAAGGAAGCATAGAAATTTTGCATTTCCTATATAAGTAAAATATTCTTTGATTTCAATCAAATTAGCGGAGCGAAAGACCTCAGTTTTAAGCAGAAATCGTATGACAAAATAAAAAACACTCTATTTCGTACATTAACATGGTTTATTTGTTCCGAAATTAAACAGAAAATTTCAGAATAGGTAGGTACATAAACATCCTTCTACACATATTATTTGATATTTTTGATAGAAAGTTGGTTTTTGTTTTAAACTTAGGAGAAGGCAAATATCTACTCTTAGAAGGTACAATAATATATTTATGGGGACAACATACGACGTTTAGTTTAGTACAATGATGGTTATTTAATAATATATAAATGTTATTTTTACATTTAACGATAACTAGAAGAGTAGGTATAATATTGACTAAAAATTATGAGTTTTTAGTTTTTTAGAAAACGAGATAATATACACTTTTTTTTGTGTGTGATCGGTTTAGAGACCTTGTTGCTCCATTATTTTGAAACTTTAATTTGCAAGTTTTGTTCCATCAAAAATCAAATAACACACACACGTTAACTACTTAAGTGCTTTACCCTAAAATATATACTTACTGCTATATAATAGATAATATTTTGACTTAAGAACTAAAAACTTCCTGAACATTCCTCCTATTTCTATTACTGAAAGGGGCTGATCAACAGTCAAAAGAAAAGTTATAGGACAATAATAATTACTGACTATTTCTTGAACAATCCTAAAACAGCAGAGCAATAAACTGCTGCAAAACACCTCTTAAAAAATCCTAGAAAACGAATTTCAAAACTAATATTAGCGCCAACATCAACTGCCTGTGTGAGAACGCACCTTTGTCTCAGCTATTTTAGATTTACAACAATAATAAACAAAAATCTACAATAGTTATGTAATAAGTATAAGTGCTCAATATAATGATGGTTCAAAACTTGCCAATATTTTAAGAACAAGGTCAATCATAATTCTCTCGTAATTAAAGATATTTTTGTTAAAGATATGCAGGATAATAAAGATAACATTAATACAATAATTATTCGTTCTGTATTTTGTGTAACAAATATAATACTTTTTTTTTTCTTTGAATATAATTTTAGAAGTTTGCCTTGCCAAAGATATAATTGCCTGGCTCGGATGGGTCTTCTGACTTGAAGAATTGCTCCCACAAAACTTTGAATTCGTCGTAGGACACTGAGTCTTTGCCCTGAAATTTAAACGATTAGTTTTATGTTTAAGTAGTGGGATTATGTGTGATCTGTACCCCGGACATTTTATCGAAAGCTTCCCGACATTCCTGAGCTTCCAAACCGTAACAAGTGCAAACACTGGAGTATTCGTCTTTGTCGATGCAACCATCGCCGCTGGCGTCCTCCAACTCGAACATGAATCGCCGATATTGGTTCTGCCATTCCAGAGCGCTGTCTGGATTCTTCGAGTAGTCGTCCCACATGAGGGCCCATTCTTCTACACTCACCTAGAGTAGGTATAAAGGGATTTGAGTTAAAACGCTTAAGTCTGTTGAAAGATTACCTGGCCGTCTTTATTTGAGTCGGCTCTCTGTTTCAGACCCTCCCAAACCTCAAGCATTGCCTGGAATGTTTTGGTGTATGTTTCGCTATTTTTCTCCCAGCCTCTTAGGGTGCATATTTTCTAAAAATAATTATAAATTAAGTCGAGGAGTTTTCATTCATGGACAATTTTTGTGTGAGAGCTAAAGTTGCCTCTTAACGTCGAAACTGGAATTCCAGTTCTCATTGGATTGCAAAGCTTAGATTCAAAGTTATGTATACTTACGTCTATAGCAATTTCGAAGTCTTTCCTATCGATCGTTCCACTTTGATTTACATCTGGAATAAAGAAAATAGACTTAAATTGTATATCTGACTATTGTATTTCCTATTTCAATTTTGATAGTCTAATAATAGTTTCATTATTTCTACAAAGATCGTGGTTTTAAGTAGCATTTGTTAGCTTCACCATTAAAAAAGATAAATTCATATATGAAACAATTATTATTTTATGAATCTAGAAACTGCAAACTTCATATTTCTAATAAAAGTCTTTACCATCCAATAAACCATTCCAAATGGCCTTATCACAAAAACCTAAACTTCTAAATCAGTCGTAAACGTAAAGAAAAATAGTAGATTATATTTTGCCCTTTAAAGTTGCCAATAAAAAACTCTGTTTATGGTCATTTCATGCTTACATGAAATTTATTTTTGATATATCGTATAAGCTGTCCACACTAAAACCAATCTTAAATATTTCTACATTTATTAAAGAATTTTTTTAACAGATTAAGCTATCGATTATAGCTTTTGTAAGTGAAATTTTCCAACAGCCTCCAATGCCAAAACTAGGAAAATCTGGCACTAAAAGGCACTTTATGTGTCGACAAGCTTACAAATTTAGATCTACACTTGAAACTTGAGAGCCCTATTTTTCAGATTATGGCTCCATCATAATAGATGGGATCATTTCGTATTGTTTATGGGTTGCTGACACCATGTCTATTTTTTTTCTTTTATGGAATCTAATAGAATAGTGGTTCTGGATTTAAAAGCACGTAGGTATCTTACCTATTTAAGACAGAAAAGAGAAAATGATGTGGATAAATATTAAAAAGGCCACCTAGGAATTCTCCGCCGAAACTGTAAGGAATTTGTGGGGAATTTGAAGGAATCTATGAAAAATTGGGAGAGTGTATGAGAAATTGGGGGACTTTATTAGTTTTAACACTGAGCGTAATAAAAATTGAAAAATACATTTCTTGTCACGAATAATTTTGGAGATTTCCAGGAAATTTGTAACAGGCATTTGCAAGGAATTTGCGAGCAATTTGGACCTTGTTCACCATTTTTGAAGCATGAACAACAAAAAACTATCCAAGCTGCATTGAAATTATTCACTAAGGGTTTGTAGAGGATTTAATTGGCTTTATTTATTTATTTATTTATTCATCATATAAACGGGTTGTACCCAATCGTACATCATGTACTTAACAAAATTAAAATTATAGAAGTAACTTAAAACTAAAATAACACATAATAAAAACATCAGAAAGGATTTAAACAAGTACAAACATACTAAATACAAAGTTAACACAATAAAGAAAAGGACATTTGACAATTTGACGACTGATTTGAATACTGATTTTCTTTCTAAATTAATAAAGGTATCAAAGGTCCGAGTTTGTTTTTTTTTTTAAGTTTGGATTTTAAGGTATTGAGACTTATGGTAAATAGATCACCATCAAATGAATTTGCCGTTCTCATTATCCTGGTCAGAGGGGAGTTCTGGCCATAGGAAGTTCTGTGAAATTTCAATTCAAATGTTTTACCTTCCCTTAAAGTTCGCGAAAGCACATGAAATTGGATTAATTCTAGTAATTCTGAACAGTCAATGGGATTAGATATAATTTTAAAACATATCAAAGTATCTGATGTCTCTCTTCTCATTTCTATACTGTGCAAATCTATAGTCTTTTCTAATAGTGTGTAGTTTAAATTATCAGATGATAACCCCTTCTTAAAAGCAATATATTTTAGAAACTTTCTCTGTACACTTTCGAACTTTTCAACATATGTTGGAAAGAATGGATTCCAAATGACAGAACAGTTTTCTAGCTGAGATCTAACTAGAGATGTGTATAATAATTTTATTATTTCTTTGTCTTTAAAATCTTTAGTATTTCTCTTGACAAAGCCTAACATACCTACGCATGGCTTTGTTATAACAGTTCTCTATAAGTATAAGCAGAAAATGTAAGTTTATAATCTATTAATACTCCAAGATTATCCTAATTATGTTCAACTTCTCCAAATATTTGTTATTTATTTTATAGCCATATTGCTGTTGGAAACCAAATGATCTACTAAACTTACTAATCCATACTTACACTTATCTACATTAAGGATAATTTTATTTTGAATACACCATTCTGAAAATATATACAAATCTTCTTGGAGTAGATTCCCACATAACAGTGAAAGAACATTCATATTCTCAGAATATTCCCTCAAAGTACTTTTTGGAATGTTCTTTTAGGAATGTTCAATGAATATTCTTAGATTGTTTCGATTGAAATATTCATTTTTGAACGTTCTATTTATGTACTAGGAATATTGCTTCTATGCACCTACCTGAAAGATTGTGCTAAGAACCTACTTTATATAACATTCTTTGAATATTCTCATATGAACATTATTATAATGTACCCTAAAAAATGTTCTTTAAGCTAATATCTCTATCAAGTATTAAGAATATACCTACCAAGTTGTGCTGAGAAGTTTATGTAGGTAGGTAATATTGTTCGCCTAATTTTCTAAAGTACCTACTCAAAAATCTTAATTATACAATTAAACAATAATGTTCTATCTAGAACCTACTAAGAATATTATAGGTATATTATTTTTCTTTTGCTTTGTATGAGCGACGCGCTATTAAAGATCTACATCTTGCGTCGCATTTGAATCACCTTGGAACCTGTTTCTCAGTTGGCGTGCTTCGACGAGAGCATAACAAGCTCGAAACCGGAGCTTTGGTTAAATACTCGTGTTTTCTAGAGAAGTTTTCCAACAACTCTTTCACTGCCTTTAATATAAAAGGGCTGAAACGAGTATTATTTGGAAGCGAAAATTAACATTACAAGTATATCCTTAGAATCAAACAAGAATGTTATGTCTAGGATGCATATTGAGAATGATATATGTAGATATATTCTAAGAATATTTCAAGCATATTGGTATAATATTCTTTTGAGAACATAACTATAATGTCATAGAAACATTCTTTGAATGTGAGAATATAGGTACGTTTCGAGCATATTTTTAGAATCAAACAGGAATATTATTTTCAGGATGTACTGAGAATCTCATAGGTATATTCTAGGAATATCCTAATGGATTTCCCAGGAAGTTCTTGGGTATTGCAAACAGTATTTCTACAATCTTTTCTCAGAACATTCTCAGGACATTCGCAATGGTTTTGGCGAACATTCCTCCTAAAAAAAGAACATTCTTAATACATTCTAAGAATGCAATTTTGTTATGTGGGTTGGAACTATCTTGATTTGTTATGTTTTTATAGACCTTCAAATCACCAGCGTATAAAACAAATTTGGAGTGCACGAAGCAAGTCTGAATGTCATTGATAAACAAATTGAATAAAAGCGGGGACAAAAATGCCCTTCTTGTGTTACGGCTGACCATACTTTAATGGGACAGTGTATTCAATCCAAAATCATAATCATTTGTGAAGATGAGATAAAGAAATACTTTATTTACATTTGATATATTGTTGATTTGTCTTAAATTAGAGTAACATATTGAAGCTATAATACATTCACTCGCCAAGCAGTTTCTAACCTGAGAGTTATTAAAATTATCACAGTCAAAAAATGTTAGCGTAGGTAAGTTATAGTCTCTTAACAGGTACAAAGAATAATTTTCATATAACTTAGAAAAATGTTCGATATTTTCAGCGTGAGCTTTATATTCTGATAATAAAGATTTCGGAGGAAAATATGATATGTACCTACTCACAAAATTAGGACTTTATTATCTATTTCTGCCCATAATTCTTCATGAGCGGTACAATTCCTGAGGCTGTCCAATACATGACTTAAATTCTTTTCTGATACCGATTAGTGCCCCTCCTCCTCTTGTTTGCCTGTTGCATCCAGGTCTCTATCATTTCTGAAAATAGTAAAGTTTTGTAGCCCAAGTTCTGCATTTTGATGATCATCATTAAGCCAGGTTTCTGTAAGTGCTATAACACTGTTGTCACTGATGTATACATTCTGCAAATTTGGTTCTAAGTCCTCTAACATTCTGGTAATACATTAATAACTTCTTCTGTATGGTAAAATGCTGCCTTGAGGAAAATGTTGGAGGCTGACAATTACATTCTGAGGCCAAAAGTCAGGGTTTAAACATCTAAATCTGGTTTGATAGAGATTTTAAAAGCAGACTGATTTCGATATTTGGAGTCCAGTTTTTCACAAGTTTGTATAAAAATTGAGTTGTTTTTTGAATAGTCAGTTCCAGAAACATCAATGCCAAGACCACCCACATATAACCATTCACGATCTCCTAAAGTTAATGAAGGTATATTTTTATTTGTACTTCGGATACCGTTTCTGTTCATTGCTCCCATGCTTAAATCCTTTGGCAGGATTTTTGGTTTATTTGATCCTGCTATAACAATATTTTTAATGGCCGAACTTTCAGTTAATATAACTGCATTGGATACATCTTCACTAGTTATAGGATTCTTTTTCGTCGGAAGGCTTCTTTTGGGGAGTGTGTCATTTGTGTTATTGCTTTGTAATTCTCTTTTATTTGAGTTTGTAGGGTCGTTTAGAGTAGGGATGCTTCGTGTGAGAAATCTCACCAAATCCTTATTGGAGCTTATAATAGCTTCCACAACATATCAAGCTTGTTCAACCCTAACCCTTCAGACTGGGTTTTCAGTTCTTGGGTCAAAATGTTGCTGATACTTCCACGTAGGTTTTCAGTAGCTTTTGTCCCTTCCAATGTCAAGTCTATAGGAGATTCGTCCTTTGCTTCAGTGTCGGGAACATTTTTATTTTTAAGTTGTTGAGTTTTATAATCAGATGACAATTATTCAAAAACTGTACCTAACATGGGTATTAAATTAATTCTAATGGGAAAGGTAAAGGGGGTTGTCAGAAGCAGGGTGACATCAGTGGAGGTAAAATGTGATGTCATTTTGGAAAAAATCTTCACAAGGCGACATTTGAAGGAATTTTTATTTGTTTTTTTTTTTTTTGGGAAAGTGGAAAATGGAATTTGCGAGCAGTTTTGAGGAATTCGGAGGAATTTGTGGGGCATTTGGAGGAATTTGTGGGGCATTTGGAGGAATTTGCAAGAAGTGAGAGAGAAAATGACAATAAATCCTCTCAAAATGGTCATAGTACCCTTCACCAGCAGAAGAAAACTTGATAACTTGGTACCCCTAACTATTCGGGAAAAATTAGTACCATTCTCAAATGAAGCAAAGTATTTGGGATTCATCCTGGACAAGACTCCAAGCTGGAACGCTCATTTGGAAAAAGTTAGCCAAAAGGCAAAATTGACGCATTGGAACTGCCTCAGGATCTGTGGAAAGACCCGGGGAACAATTCCAAAACAGATTCACTGGATCTACATCATGGTTATCAGACCAATGATAACCTACTATGGTTCTGTAGTATTGTGGGGCCAGGCGAATCAGAAAAGGGTTCAAGCCACACTTTAGCGGACTGCAGAGAATAGCCCGCCTGGCGATAACGGGAGCGTTGCGCACCACGCCTACAGCAGCTATGGAAGTCCTGACTCCACTCTACATTTACGTGAAGAGGAAAGCAATGAGGTCAACCTATCGGCTGTACCGTGCTTAAAAAAGCATTTTGAAGGGGAGTAGCGCAATGAAACACACGGTGCTTGTGGATGAAATAAATCGACACGGCACCCTCAACATGCCTTTTGACATAATGCCAAGGAAAACCAACTTTGGTTTGCCCTTCAAAACAATGATTCCTGACAGAGAGCTATGGGCTAGCGACAGGACCGAGCTACTGAGGGCAGATCTCTGCCTGTATACAGATGGCTCCTAAACTGAACATGGTGTCGGAGCAGGGGTATATGATGAAAAACCAAGGCTGGAAATTTCGGTCAGCCTTGGCTAGCCTATCCACATTTCAGGCCGAATTGCTGGCCATCGAGCTTGGCGCGAAAAAGCTGCTGGAAAAGCAACAAACGCACAAGTCGATAAAAATATTTTCTGATAGCCAAACTGCGCTGAAAGCACTGGCATCCATACATTGCACATCGAAAACAGTATGGAACTGCATACAAGCCCTGACCCAGCTAGGGGAAAAGAACAACGTTACATTAGTCTGGGTACCGGGACATACCGGACAAGAAGGTAATGAAAAAACTTGCAAAAGCTAGATCGGAGCTTAACTTCATTGGACCGGAGCCAGTACTGGGAATAGCCCTGAATACGGCTAACTTCACAATCTTGACCTGGGCCAATATAGAGGTCAAAGAATATTGGTCGAGACTACCAGGCATGAACCATGCAAAATCCTCTATACTCTGTCCAAAAGGAGGGAAAGTGGCAGACATACTTCTGGGAATGGAGAGAAAAAGCCTCAAAGCACTGCTGAGTCTATACACTGCACACTGCAGACTCCGTTATCACATGCACAGGTTCAGAATAGCACAAAGTGCCAGGTGTCGCCTATGCATGGAAGAGGACGAAACTGCAAAACACCTCCTATGCACGTGTCCGGCAATAGGCAGAATCAGGCATGCTATTTTCGGGGAGTCAGCTGTTCGACCCGAATACATAAAGCCATGCTTCCCCCACACTTATCTCCACCTTCATAAGAACAGCTGGATTGATAGGGGAAATATAAATTTGGAGTGAGTCACAAAGAGATTCTTGAAATGTTAATTCGTATAGGGCACCAATTCCAAGTATAATTTCTCGAAAGTGATTTTTCAGAGTTCCATATAAAATTGTTTCTAATTTGAATTTCAAGTATTTGGGGCACTTTGGGCACATTCCAGATCCTTGAAATGCTCAATCGAGAATAAACTAACTATATTTTAGGACTACGTAAAGTGCCTGAAAGGGCCCGATGACAATTTCGCAAATTGATTCATCCATCAAAAGTGATTTGTCCTTTTTTTACTGATCACAAAGCTTCAATAATTTTCCTTTTCGGGTACAACACTGGAATTCTTGCACATTGACCATATTATTGAAGTTAATGTTTTGTCTTAGAAAACTGGGAATTACCCTTTAACAGGCCAAAAAGAAACTTTCTATGTCTAACAAGAGCGTACCGTCTCTGGATCATTAGTTAGTTTTTATGGAACCTTTTAAACATGCCAAAAAAGTCTCTCCCAGTAATTTCTCGTCTCACCCTTAAACCTTTGGATTTTTAATTACATTTTATCTGATGGCGAAACGGTATAACTTCTATCAATTTCTATCCCTCAAAATCACGCCTTAGGCGGTTCTAAACTGAAATTAAACCTCAAAAGAGAATTTCGAGGTTTTGCAAGTTTATTACATTACTTATTAGATAATTTAATAATCAATATCGAAAATTAAATTTCGTCCCGAAAACTTGATGGGAAGCCCTCCCTCTGGCACGCGACGTTTTACCAAATCCAATATTCTGTTGTTATGTTTTTTTTTTATACTCACCGAAAAATACGTGGAAAACATAGAGGAGTTTCTTCTTTCTGAATTCCGAGATTGGCATGTTGGCAAGAGGTCGTCGGTTCTGGAAAAGAAAATTGAAATTCAATGGAAGTTTGGTATAAATATATTTTCTAATCCGGCTTCAAGCATGCAAAAAATGCAATTTCTAATCTACACTACTATAGATTTTAAATAATTTAAATCCAACCAGGTATAGAATAAATTCTTCATCCCTCAAGAGACATACCTATATAATGAATAAAGATATTGGAAAACGTGCCTTGCACTTGCGAAATTTCTCTCGTTAAAAATGTGCAGTTCACCTTTGAATTAAATATGAAATCCGCCCACATAAAAGTGACACTTTTGTCCTACATACAGGAGAAAATTTATTTTTAAATAATTCAATCCAAGGGGATGCTGGAAAATGTATCGACTAACAAAAGGACATAGGACATCTTCACAAAATTGAAATGTTTGTGTCGACATTAATAACAAATTTAATGGACATAATTAAAATCGATCAAATGCATGAATAACCAAATTAAACTATAAATAGAATACGTAATGTAAATTAAATGGAAACCTATATGTCCAACATTTGCAATCAATTTATACATTTATTTGGTAGAAGTTTTCACCTATATACGTATTAATTTATTCATAAATGGGTGCATGTATTTATTATAGAGTTTATTACATCTATTAATTTTATATTTGACAGAATTTTGAATAATAAACATCTATTATGAATTGTGATTATACGCTGATTGATGATAGATGAGATAAAAATGGCTTGGAAGCTCAAAAATTGTCATTTATCATATGAATCTCATTATTCAAGGATTTCATTCTTTTTTTTTTTGAACATTCATTTTTGCAATATAAATTGAAATATGTATGCAGTTCTAAAACAGGAAAATCCTTGTTTCCAAAAAATAGTTTTGCAGATAATATATCTACAATACATGATATCCTAGAACTTCTTTCCCAAATTTTGCATGCATGCACTAAAGCTTCTAATAAGCACAAGCTCGGATTAAATTGTTGTAGACAATTTCCAAAATCACTACATCAGCTTCAAATATTCTAGGCTATCTAATAAGCTCAAGCTTTAAATAATATTGGCCATCTCCTTTGGATTCTACAGCTTTAATTTCCTCTAATTAATTGAAGAAGCAATTGAATTTTTTGGATGAATACATACCGCCCCGCCGACAGTGTTACCAAACAAGTTTCGGGGCATTACGCGGGTCATCATTTCGCGAAGAAAGGTTTTTCCATAATTTAAAGTCTCCATGGCCAGTAATTGTCCTAGAATATAAATACACACACTAATATATGATGAGCGAATCAAATACAATTTTTAAAGCATTAGTTTGATGATTTAGTGATGATTTTTCAAGTTGCAGGAAAATATGCTAAAAGTTATAATGACATTAAGTTCTTCTAAGAGGCATTACTAATAGTTAATGTAGGAATTAGTACACAGCATTTATATCAGGATTTAATTGTTAATGTTTCTCGCTCATTGTTAAGTTGGTTCTTCAAAGTCAAAATATATTTACCTACGAAAACTACAGTAAATATAATGTATACCTCCTATAACTAGGTATTACAATTTTACACGCAAACGTTCGTTAATGGTCAGGGGCGGATGGGGAGCATAAAACCGGCCCGGGAAACCGTTGGCACCGGCCCTGCGAGATCAGTATTTTAAAACCATTTTATGTTTTTTTCTAAAACTAAGTTTTTGAAGCAGGTACCTATCTAATGGTAAATGATGAGGTGAGATACGTAATATGAATGACTAACATTGGAATTATGAAGAAAAAATCTCAAACAAGTATAGTCGCCGCCACAGATAATCGAGATTCCTACAAAAAATCATTTCTTTGTCAGCGATGCCAGGATAAACAAAAACCGCAGCAAAAACTCTACAGATAAGGGTTGAGAATAAATTTAGTCCAAGAGCATCAATCGAATAATTTCAAACCAATCTAATCTTGTAGGTACTCAAGTGGTTCCTGACACGTGCTCCCTGACTAAATGCAGTCCGGCTGATAATATAAACATACTTTTCTGTCCGAATCTCAAATATGTCTGGCGGATACTATATCTTTTTACTTTTTTTGTCCAAAGTAAAAAATGCTGCTGGAAAGTGTTTTGGAACGTTTTAAATGGTTTATTGAAGTTCTAAAGTGCTCTAAGTTGGCTTGAAGAATTCTGGAGTATTCTAGAAGTTTTGCAGTAATTTCTAAATTGTTCTGACAGATTTCTAAATATTCTAGAGCCCTATTGAAGCTCTAAAGAGTCCTAAATTGGTTCAAAAATGTTCTAAAAGATTTCCAGTTCTAAATTAGGACTCAATTTAGAACTTTGAAATTGTTCTAAAATAACTCTGAAGGTTCTCAATTGTTCCAAAATGCCCCTGAAAAATCTGATTTAAATTTAAATGTTTCAAATGCCTATTAGAGGTCTAAAGTTCTACGGCAATCTAAATGTCCTCTTAAAAGCTTTCTGAAAGGCGTTTTGTAACTTTTAACCTGAATCCTAAGATTCTCGCGCTTTTCAAAATGTTTCTGGGGATTATAGAGTGTTTGAGTGTTTTGGAGCGACCTAAAATGGGTTTCAAACTTCTGAGTAATTCTAGAATGCTTTTGAAAATTGTAAAAAGAATGTTTTGGGACATTCGAAAATGGTTCTGAAATTTCCAAAATTTTCTGAAGCGCTACATAATGCTTTTGGAAATTCTGAATTGAATTTTAAGTCTTTTGAACTTTCCAAAAGACCTATTAAAGTTCTAAAGTGTTCTGTAGCATTTTAAATTTTCTAGTAACTTCTAAATTAAATGAGAAACGAATTCTGTGGGGAATTTTTCTAGACATCTTAAAGACGTCCCTAAGATGTCCACAAACGACATTTAACACGTCTTGCTTACGTCTATAAGGCGTCTCAAAGATATTTTGAAGACGTCGTAATGTTACAAAACCCAGCGTCTTTCAGAGATCTGCCTAAAGGCGTTTTCAGGACTGAGACATTTTAAAGACTTCTTCAACGAGATGTCTTAAAGACGTCTTGGATTCTCTTATCAATACATAAACCATTATTCACTTTTGGGCTTGGTTGTACCAAATAGTTGTCATTAAAATATGAATTTATGAAATCTTATGGACATTTTCAAAACAATGTCTTCTTGGCGTCTTTTTTTAGTCTTCAGACGTTCAGACGTAACGTAGACCTAAAAAAGACGTCTTAAGGACTTTGTGTGCTGTCTGGGTAGCTGACCATCTTGTATCTATTATCTATTACTCTTCTAACGGATGTTCAACAGTAACATGACATTAAGTTGAATATGGACTCTACCTGAGTTGGGAATCCCACAGCTATGTACCGAACAGTGTTGCCGATAGTGTGCCTAATTCGGGTGGTGTGGTACGTCTCAGGGTGCGAGGTTGCCAAAAGGGATTTAATTTCAGAGTGAATTTCGGGCTTCATTGAGCGTCCGGAACCTAAGTCCGGAACCTAGGCGGCCGCCTAGTAGTAAAACTGGCGCTGGACTAAGTGCATTAGGCGAGTTAGGTGGAGAGACTGCTGGAATTGCTAAAGCTGGTAATGATGCTCAGTCAGCTTATCAACAGTTTAAAAGAAATCAACGCCATAATCAAACGAAGGAATCCATAGCCATGGGTAAAGGATTTTTCTTGAAATCCAAGGTCCCTAAAGTTAATAGGTTGCCTGGTAATGGGTAACCTGATGACGCATCTGGGGTGCCTTATGGAGATTTGCATTATGTTGAGGCACCCAAGAGGACGTCATAAAGTTATCAGGCAACCTACCTCTTTCAAACAACCTTGTTAAAATCACACAAAACTGATCTGGGGCTTTTTTTACCACAAAAAAGAATCCCTGCACAGGGAAAAAACTTGAAAAATCTGAGAAATCTCTAGAATAACGTGAGTACTTGTTCATTTAAATCACACAATGAAATTCCTGAATTTTTTTTGTTTTTGTTTGGATCAGTAAAAAACTGTTGTTTCTGGCTCATTGGCTTGAAAAAATAGTTCAACATAACGGAGCTATGATTTTTACAATCCGATATTTATACTTTCTTATACTTATTGATATTCTGATATTTTCTGCCTTAGAGTCGATGATCTAATTTTTGATTTTTTTTCTGGAAATCTGGGAAACCTGCAGGAACCTATTTTTTTTTTTATTTATCAAAGAAGCCTTCAGCTAATGAAATTTTGCGAAAAAATAGCCCAGAATAACGTAGCTATGATTTTTACAATCCGATAAACTCACTTAGTGATATTTCTGCCTTAAAGTCAGTCGTCTAATTTTTAATTTTTTTCTCGAAATCTGGGAAACCTGGAGAAACCGAATATTTTTTTATTTATAAAAAAAACTTTCAGCTTCAACATACAAAAATTTTATGAAAAAATAGCTCAGGATAACGGAGCTATGATTTTTAAAATCCGATAAAACACACTGAGTGATATTTCTGCCTTAGAGTCAATGGTCTAATTTTTGATTTTCTTTCTGGAAATCTGGGAAACCTGGAGAAACCAAATATTTTTTTATTTATTAAAGAAGCTTTCAGCTTCAAAATAGTAAAATTTTATAGAAAAATAGCCCGAATAACGGAGCTATGATTTTTAAAATACGATAAACACACTTAGTGATATGTCTGCCTTAGAGTCAGTGGTCTAATTTTTGTTATTTTTTTTTTCTGGAAATCTAAGAAACCTTGAAAAACTAAATATTTTTTTGTTTATTAAAGAAGCGCTCAGCTTCAACATATTAAAGTTTTATCGAAAAATAGCCCAACATAACGGAGCTATGATTTTTACAATGCGATTAACACACTTGGTGATATTTCTGCCTTAGAGTCAATGGTCTAATTTTTGATTTTTTTTCTGAAAATCTGGGAAACCTGGAGAAACCAAATATTTTTCTGTTCAATAAAGAAGCTTTCAGCTTCAACATACTAAAATTTTATGGAAAAATAGCTTAGAATAACGGAGCTATGATTTTTACAATTCGATAAACACATTCAGTGATATTTCTGCCTTAAGGTCGATGGTCTAATTTGTGATATTTTTTCTAGAAATCTGATAAACTTGGAGGAACCAAATATTTTTTTATTTAATAAAGAAGCTTTCAGCTTTAGTATACCAAAATTTTATTGACAAATAGCTTGAAATAAAGGAGCTATGATTTTTACAATCCGATAAACACACTTAGTGATATTTATGCCTTAGAGTCAATGCTCTAATTTTTGATTTTTTTTCTGGAAATCTGGAGAAACTAAAAAAAATTTTATTTATTAAAGAAGCTCTCAGCTTCAACATACTAAAATTTTATGGAAAAATAGCTTAGAATAACGAAGCTATGATTTTTACAATCCGATAAACACATTGAGTGATATTTTTCCCTTAGAGTCAATGGTCTAATTTGTGATTTTTTTTCTGGAAATCTGGGAAACTTGGAGGAACCAAATATTTTTTTATTTATTAAAGAAACTTTCAGCTTCAACATACTTAAATTTTATGAAAAAATAGCGCAAAATAACGGAGCTATGATTTTTACAATCCGATAAACACACTGAGTGATATTTCTACCTTAGAGTCAATGGTCTAATTTGTGATTTTTTTTTCTGGAAATCTGGGAAATTTGGGAAAACCAAATATTTTTTTGTTTATTAAAGAAGCGCTCAGCTTCAACATATTAAAGTTTTATGGGGAAATAGCCGAACATAACGGAGCTATGAAATTTACAATCCGATTAACACACTTAGTGATATTTTTGCCTTAGAGTCAATGGTCTAATTTGTGATTTTTTGTCTGGAAATCTGGGAGACATGGGAGAACCAAATATTTTTTTATTTATTAAAGAAGCGTTCAGCTTTAACATACTGAAATTTTATGAAAAATACCTCTACATAACGGATCTATGGTTTTTACAATCCGATAAACACACTGAGTGATATTTCTGCTTTAGAGTAAATGGGTCTAACTTCTGATTTTTGTTCTGGAAATCTGGTACACTTGAAGGAACCAAATATTTTTTTATTTATTAAAGTAGCTTTCAGCTTTAACATACTTAAATTTTATGGGAAAATTGCCCAACATAACGGAGCTATGATTTTTACAATCCGATAAAACACATCGACTGATATTTCTGCCTTAGAGTCAATGGTTCAGTGGCGCATCCAGGCATTTTGTCTGATGCAGAAAAAAATATAGAAGTTTACATAGACCCACTATCCTTATTTAAGCTTATGATATGAGGAAGCCATATGGTTTTTCGAAGTCAAAATATATTTACTACTACCGTACCTAAATAGTATTGTATGACTCCCATAACTAGGTTTAATTTTACACGTAAACGTACGTAATAGTAAAGTATAAACGCACGAGCATAAACCAATCAGAAGCCGCCGTTAATCTTCAGTTTTGTTCTGCGGTTACCTTAAGAATTTTGTGGCTACTGTATGTAACTCGATATACTTATTCAAAATTCTAATAACCCTTGACAATTTCATGAAAATTTAATTGAAAGAGTCAATATTGTGCTAAAATACAAAGAATTCTCTCAAGGGGTCCGAAGACAACAATCACTCTTGGGAAATCCAGGGAGCTTGATTGGAAATGATCAAAAATTCAATTATAACTGAATATACATTTATTATAATTTTCTTTACAGTAATACCAATTTTAATTGGAGGTTTTGGGAAAAACCTCAACATTAAGTTTTTCAAAATAATTCAATAAAAGTCTATCAGATTTTCTATGAAATTTCGAAGCTAGAATAATCAGAGTAGGTAATACCTAAAACTGGTAGCATTCTACCAATAATCGCCGAGCTAACTGCATTGGGTGTGTTAGGTGGAGGGACTGCTGGGTAAAGGATTATTCTTGAAACCATACAAAACTGGTCTGGGGCTTTTTTTACACCAAGGAGGATGTAAAACAAAAAATCCCCTGCACAGTGGAATAATATAGTTTGTTTGGGTCAGTAGAAGACTGTTTCCATTCACATTTTTATATTTACAATAATCTAGGCAACAAACTTCTACACGAATATTCTCCCTACCTAATAATTTATTTAATAATACTAAATTTCCAGATGAAATAGTGATAATAGGACAAATCACTGTATACTTTGTATTGTAACATACATTTTCTTTTGTATCATCCCATATACGGATGGATCCGTACTTACTCAGTTCGTAAAAGGCTTTATTACCACGGAACAAATTTTCCTGGCCGGGGAAAAAAGACTGTAAATCTGGAGCCCTGGGAGCAGAGTTAAGCCGCCCCGAAAATAAATTCGTCCTAATTTAAAGGGGGCGAATATTCGTCCGCCTTTTGTTAACAAAATATTGTTATCCTACGGAATTTAATGTCGGCGTTTTTAGCCGGCAGGTGGATCCATAATATGCTTCAGAGCTTTTACTAATTAGCGGTAAAAAACTAAAATTAATACATTGCTTGAAAATTCAACACATTAGGTGGCAAAGTGCTTACTCGTACGTAACTACACATGTTCCATATTTCATTTATTCAAATTTTGTACGTTGAATAATGTATCAGTGTCATAAAGTAATTCTTCGTCTAGAAATCAGTCGATAACATGTGCTGCTCTATAAAAAAAAAATTCTCGCAAAATGGTTCATTAAAACAGCTGGCGGCAATTAGCCAAAAAACGGATTCATCTTTATTAACTTATCCTCATGCTACAGCGTAATTATAAAATTACGTTAACTCCTTTTGCCTTTTGTTCGAGGAAATATTTAATTTCTTTTGCCTTCGTTTTGGAATTTTCCAGTTCCAAAATTTTCATCGCTCTTAATTTGATGCAACCAAACATTTACGTGTTTAACAAAATATGCTAATTAGAACTAATTTTGTATAAGCTCCAGTGATGATTAAATTTGGAGAATATTTATTTAAATTTATGTAGAGAGCATTAGAGCAATATGGAAAAAGTACCATTTTCGCTTCTCCCCTTTAAAACCTTATGTTAAAATTCTAAAAATGTATTATTTGCACTACACTTTCGCTTTCCAAAAAGTATTTTTCAGTTAAATTGCTTCAAGTCGCCTTTGAATGGAGGAAAATGGAGTTATTTGGGATGTATGTTGAAATGGGAAAATGGAAGATAGGGAGTTGTGAATATAGTGCACTCGATCGAGTGGAAGAGAGAATAAAAAATGATGCTTTTTGTGTGCAGTCCGACTTTTTCATGGATATATAGGAAAATACAATAAAAACGTACAAATTATGATGTTTGTTGAGCTTAAATTATTTCAGTCATAAATAGCAAAAAAAAAGAGAAACGCATATTCGTTTTCATGAAAACCATCTAAGGTATTATAAATATACAGGGTGGGGCACGAAAAACTTTCCACCCCCAGGTTTTCTCAGATGTCAAGTGATTAATTAAAAATCGCTCGAACACGTCAATTTTTGTTTTTTGGGGGACACATTTTATGGGTATTTTCACTCCCTACCTGTCAACCTCTAAGTGGGGGTGACAGGTACCACCAAAATTTCAAATGATAAAGGGGGATCGAGTGATACGTCATTTGATAGCTATTTTCATTAAGATTATATCCCTGACGTTTTAAGTTGCTACTATTTACCCTGTCGAAATGGTGGCTTGTCAAAGTTAGGAAAAATCAATGGAAAATTGCTGTGTGGTTTATTTTACCTGTTACCTACGCATAGGTGTGACAGGTAAAAACGATACAGTTTAGATTATCGAAAAAAAGCATTTATCCTAACTTTGACATGCCGCCATTTCGACAGGGTAAACACTAGCAGCTTAAAGTTTCGGGGATATAATCTTAATGAAAATAGCTACCAAATGACATATAACTCGACCCCTCTTTCCATTTGAAATTTTGGGGTAGCTGTTACCCCCACTTACGGGTTGACAGGTAGGGGGTGAAATACCGATAAAATGTGTCCCCCAAAAAACAAAGATGGACGTGTCTGAGCGATTTTTGATTAAACACCTAACACCTGAGAAACTCTGGGTGGGAAGTTTTTCGTGCCCCACCCTGTATGTATAAATACTTTCTAAAATGATGATATCAGAAACTATAGGGGTAAACGGGTAAACCTCTAACAGGTCCAAAGTGGATTTATTTTTCAATAGTCATCGAACGAATATTATTAAATTATCATTAGATAAAGCCCAGAATAATCAACAATTTCAATTCAAAACTCCTCAGAAAAGTGACTTCAATAATTGACAATAGTTATGTGCATTATATTTTTCGAATTATACTCTTAGCAAAAATATTCAAATGTCAATTGACTTCTCAATATAAGTAATATACTTTCTTACAAATTTAATAAATTGGGGTTTTATTGTTGAGTAGATTCAATGTTAAACCTCCCTTCCATGTAAAGTGTTTAAATACCCCAAACTTGTTTTATTTAAATCAGCTCTAATATCACAGAACGTATGAAAGCAGTTTGAGTGTAGTTCAAAAATACAAAATGAGTAAAAGTGCCATGAATTTTTCGCTTTTCGAACAAACGGATATCAAAAATGCAGGCTTCTCTGAGGATTCCCTCAGGAAAAAGTTACTAGATGACAATTGATCAGAATGTTCAAAGAGAAGTAATCAAGGACGCTGTGGAAAAACCTTCAGAAGAAGGCAATTTGGTTCGTGATTTTTCTGAAGAGTATGCTTTGCCCTTGATCGACGTTACCCAATCTGAACTGAAAATTATTTCTAAGGAGACAATGAAGGACCTTTTGGATGGGAAATTCAAGGATTGGATTCAATCATATTTTTATATGTAAATTTTCGATACTTTTAGAGATAAGAGACTTATTTCTGTAGAAAGCTTGCAATGTGAAAGACATTAACCGCTCAGAACTAAAAAGTGTGGATGTTCTGAGACTTTCAAGTCAATTTTGTTCAAATTTCAAGCTCATAATGAAACCCTGGAAATTATTTAGAATGTCTGAGCTCAGTTTTAACAACGATTTGTTCACAGAACTAAGAAAAGTATATTTCAGAGTCTTTCAAAGTCAATTTCAGCAAGATTCTTTCTCAGATTTAGAAAGTGTGGTTGTTCTGAGACTATCAACTCAATTTTGTTCAAATTTCAAGCTCATAATCAAAACCTGGAAATTATTTAAAATCTCTGAGTTCAGTTTTAACAACGATTTGTTCTCAGAACTATGCAAATTTCAGAAGTCTTTCAAAGTCAATTTCAACAAGATTCTTTCTCAGATTTAGAAAGTGTGGATGTTCTGAGACTTTCAAGTCAATTTTGTTCAAATTTCAAACTCATAATCAAAACCTGGAAATCATTTAGAATGTCTGAGCTCAGGTTTAACAACGATTTGTTCTCAGAACTAAGAAATGTAAATTTCAGAGTCTTTCAAAGTCAAATTCAGCAAGATTCTTTCTCAGAAATAGTAACTGTGGATGTTCTGAGACTTATAATTTTAGTATGTTGAAGCTGGAAGCTGCTTTAATAAATAAAAATTTATTTGATTCTTCCAGGTTTTCCAGATTTTCAGAAAAAAATCCAAAGTTAGACCATTGACTCCAAGGAAGAAATATCAGTAAGTGGGTTTATTGGATTGTAAAACTCATAGCTCTGGGCTATTTTTACATAAAATTTTAGTATGTTGAAGCTGAAAGCTTTTCTAATAAATAAAAAAAAAATTGATTTTCCAGGTTACACAGATATTCAGATAAAAAATCAAAAGTTGGACCATTGACTCTAAGGCAGAAATAATACCAAGTGTGTTTATCGGATTGTAAAAATCATAGCTCCGTTATCCGGGGCTAATTTTCTATAGAATTTCAGTATGTTAAAGCTGAAAACTTCTTTATTAAATAAAAAAATATTTGGTTTCTCCAGGTTTTTTAGATTTTCAGAAAAAAAATCGAAAATTAGACCATCGACTCTAAGGCAGAAATATCACTCAGTCTGTTTTATCAGATTTTAAAAATCATAGTTCCGTTATCCTATGTTATTTTTCCATAAAGTTTTGGTATGTTGAAGCTGGAAGCTTCTTTAATAAATAAAAAAATATTTGGTTTCTCCAGGTTTCCCAGATTTCCAAAAAAAAGATCAAAACTTAGCCCATTGACTCTACGGCAGAAATATCACTAAGTGTGTTAATCGAATTGTAAAAATCATAGCTCCGTTACGTTGGGCTATTTTTCAATAAAATTTCAGCAAGTTGAAACTGGAAGCTTTTTTGATAAATAAAAAACAATTTGGTTTCTCTAGGTTTCGCAGATTTTCAGGAAAAAAATCAAAAATTAGACCATTGACTTTAAGTCAGAAATATCACTCAGTGTGTTATATCGGATTGTAAAAATCATTGCTCCGTTATCCTAAGCTATTTTTCCATAAAATTTCAGTATGTTAAAGCCGGAAGCTTCTTTAATAAACAAAAAAAATATTTGGTTCCTCCAAGCTTCCCAGATTACCAGAAAAAAAATCACAAATTAGACTATTGACTCTAACGCAGAAATATCACTCAGTGTGTTTATCGGATTGTAAAAATCATAGCTCCGTTATTCTGGTATATTTTTCCATAAAATTTTAGTATGTTGCAGCTGAAAGCTTCTTCAATAAATATAATCATATTTGGTTCCTCCTGGTTTCCTAGATTTCTAGAAAAAAAATCAAAAATTAGAACATTGACTCTAAGGCAGAAATATCATTCAGTGTGTTTATTGGATTGTTAAAATCATAGCTTCGTTATTTTGGGTAATTTTTCCATAAAATTTAAGTATGTTGAAGCTGAGAGCTTCTTTGATAAATAAAAAAATATTTAGTTTCTCTAGGTTTCCCAGATTTTCATAAAAAAAATCAAAAATTAGACCATTGCCACTGAAGCAGAAATCTCACTCAGTGTGTTTATCGGATTGTAAAAATCATAGCGCCATTATTTAGGGCTATTTTTTCATAAAATTTCAGTTTGTTGAAGCTGGAAGCTCCTTCAATAAACGAAAAAATATTTGGTTTCTCCAGGTTTCCAGATTTCTAAAACAAAAATCACAAATAGGACCAATGACTCTAAGGCAGAAATATCACTCAGTGTGTTTATCGGATTGTAAAAATCGTAGCTCCGTTATTCTGAACTATTTTTCTATAAAATTTTAGTATGTTGGAGCTGAAAGCTTTCCTAATAAATAAAAAAATAATTAGTTCCCCCAGGTTTCTCAGATTTTCAGAAAAAAGATCAAAAATTAGAAAATTGACCCTAAGGTAAAAATATCACTAAGTGTGTATATCGGATTGTAAAAATCATAGCTTCATAATTTTGGGCTATTTTTCCATGAAATTTTAGTATGTTGAAACTGGAAGCTTCTTTGATAAATAAAAAAAAATTTGGTTTCTCTAGGTTTTACAGATTTCCAGAAAAAAAATCACAAACTAGACCATTGCCTCTGAAGCAGAAATATCACTCAATGTGTTTATCAGATTGTAAAAATCATAGCTCCGTTATTTTGAGCTATTTTCCCATAAAATTCCAGCATGTAGAGAAAAATAGAAAAACAATGAAGTAGACAAAATATGTGAACTGCTCATATCATAAAAAACTTAAAGAATAGTGGATCTGTGTATATTTCTATAATTTTTCCTGCATGGCCCCCCTCATACAAAAAGTCTGGCTGCGCCACTGTCTCAGCAAAAATATTCAAAAGTCGTTTCATTTCACATCATAGTCATTGCAATAAATGGTTAAATACTCAAGGTTTCAATTTTTCTACGTGTACTTACAATTTTTCCATAATTCAGTAAATTATTCTTGCACGACTTCTTTACTTTTAAGGTTTTTTACGGACAAGATACGACTTTCAAGCGCGAATTTTATCTCATGACCAATTAAACTTTTGACTCTATAGACTATTTCGGACTGATGACTGCCTTTTATACTCTCTACTTGATTGTTCAAACAGTTTTTGGTCCCATCAGCATGAATTCGCGTCATGTTAATACGTTGACCAAAAATCTTCCTTGCTATTTCTAAGAAATATAATTATTTGTTCCACCGAAGATGTCACAATTTCTTTGATTATCGGGGTCAACGGATATAGCAAAAACATGAGGCCACAGCCCACAGGTATCAAATAGGTAACTGAATTTTTGAAACATCCCTGTCGATTTTTTGAAGATACAGTGGCAAATAATTGAAACAATAATAACACCAGCTATTCATCTTTTATTTGTGACAATAACATTTGCATTTGTCATTAAAAATTTTCTATAATTTTTTGCTTCATGGAAATTAACGAGACGAGCATAATGGAAGGTGGGCCAAACCCGTGCATAGCCCTTGACGATCAATTTCGCTACAACTATCAATTAGTTGAGAGGCTTCAAGAGTCCTTATCACCAAATGGTAAATCTCGAAATTAATTCGAAGTGATTGATTGAGAATAATTATTTTCAGAACAAAATAAGATTCAAACTTGGTGCGAAAAGCTCCTGACGATGGACCAGAATGTGAATCAAATGGAATTGCGTTGCGAGTATATGTGGTTCATTTTTATTATGCTTCAAGCTGGAGGTGTGAGGGATCCTTTTATGCAATTACCACCGATTGAGCTACCGCCTCTGACTCAATTCTTGGTAAGTAGGTTCAGGAATAAACAAGAATTATTATTGATGAGAATTCTAAAGAGATTTATGGGTTGATTATCTAAAAACTTGTTGCCTCATTTATTGTCTTCCAGACAACCGTCAAATTTTTCTGTTTCTTTCAGCCATGGCAAGTATATGACGAAGTCCTGCTGAGCATGGAACCTCGAATGAATTTAGAAGCTAAAGGTGAAAATCAAACCTAAAATACATATTGTATACAAAAATGTTGCAATAAAAATAACCACTAATCTAAAGTCCAATTATTTTGTTTTTACTACAGATATAGCCTCGACAAAGTTTCTAAGATTTACGGTTATATCAAAAGGGATTTTCAATCTAATCTGAAAGTTATGGCACTTCATTTTTATGGACTGTTCCGCAGAGGGGCCCGATGCAAGTTTTTACTAGCCGCGAAATGACTGACTTTAATGCACCTCAAGTTCGAATTGATAGCATCTGGGATATCAACAATGTTACGTTTACAACACATTAACATAAACCTTCCACCTTGTATAGACAAAAAGACGATACAGCCCACATTAAGTTCGTACCTGTGACGATGTAAATTTCATGCCTAATTTTATGTTAGCCCATTTTTTATCCATTGTTTAGGTAGCTAGCTAAAAATAAATAAATATTTGTATCTATTATTGTGTTATTATATAACATATTTGCATATCTGAATATCAGAAAGAATACCAATGAACACATTGAAACAAGTCCTAAGAAACATGACAAACCTGAGTCTATCAAAAAATAATTCCTGAAGTTACTTCCAATTTTTTTTACACAAGCTTCAAAAATGTTTAAAATTGGATTTTACTATGTAGAATAGGCAGGAACATTAAAGTAGGTAATCTTAAATTTCAACTAAATTTCCATAATAAAACTTTGCACATTGAATACACCGAAGTTTAGAAACAATTTGCCTTAATTAGATTAAAATTAAGTTAACGATTCTCAACGCTATACGCTTAATAGCCTTTTGAGATACTCTTGTATATGAAAATATAACAAAACACACGCGAACCTCCATTTACCATTTCCTCTCGAATAACTTAACTGCCACCCTAATTACATGTTGTATAGCCTTTCACCTTACAATGTACTATGGTCATTTTTCATAAAACTTGTCAACGCTATACATATATTTTTTTTTTGTATAACGTGTAACCAATTTTAAAATCAATTCAATTATTTCGAAACTGCACCAAAGCAAAATCCCAATCTAAGCTTTTAAATCCCAGTCCCAGCTGAAGTCGCTTTTGTTTTTGGAACGTAATTAATTTTCTGCATGTGGACTATGGTTACAAGAGGATTATTTTATCAATGTCGTTTTGCCCTTTAACATTTTTTAATCATAACGTCGCTCTATTTATGCGTTTTCGTTATAAACTTGGTTTCTGAAACATGTCCTTTAATTATTATTTTTATGGGTCCATATACTCCAGACGTTGCTCCAGGGAAATAATAGACTGTAATACGTAAACTTTGGTAATACCTTCAATAAACATAAATATCAGATTATGACAGCAAATAATAATTTTATTTAAAAATGTTATGGTATCTATAATCATAGGGTATAATAACATAAAATTGGAAATGGCTCGTTGTGTCACTACTCAATAAAAGTTTTGCATAAATAGCTTGAAGTGGGACAAAATAAAATTTACAGAAAGCACAAAAAATATTTAAAAATATTGTAGGTAGGTACTTATCCATAAAGATTTGCTGAATGAATTTTTAAGAAAATATGAATATTTTTTAGTAGAATGTAGGAATTGAAGATATACTAGTAGACTTTGATAATAGTCTAAAGCTACGTTCACACCGAGAGCAATAACATATAGGAACGTTGTTTATGCTGCTTGGTCTGGAACTTTTTTCTGCATATTTCCAAAAATTCCTTTTTGTTCACGGTTCCAGCAACAAAAGTTCCTTGTTTCCATATTTAGCGACAAAGATCAAATAATATAGAAACATTTTCTGTTTCTCAACTTTATTCTTAACAGTGTGAACATGTTGCTGTTTGTTCCCAAAACTCGAAATTTGTTGTGTGTGTCTAAAGCAATGTCCACACCAAAAGCAACATATAGGAACATTGTGTTTATGTTGCTTGTTCCTGGAACCTGTTTCTGTATGTTTCCAAACGTTTATTCAAGTTGCTTATTGTTTACGGTTGCAGCAACAACAGTTCTTATAAGTTGTGTGAGACCCCAAATTCAGAAACTTGGCAATTTAAGATGTTAAATTGGCGAGCGGTGACTTTAGTTTCTGAGTGGAGAAACAGTTTAAAGTGGGTCCTATTTGCGGGTGGAGAGTAAAACACAGAAATATTGTGGTCAATTAAGATAAAGATAAAGTTTATTTTATTAAAATAAATAATGCTTGTTATTAAATAACAGGCGTCGGTAATAAATAATCTTACAATAAAATTATTCAATCTCTAATAAGCATCAATTAACTGTTAAGGAAAATTTATATGATTCCAAGTAAAATTTTAATTTACAGTTTGACTCGACTCACACTCTTGCCTTCACAATTTCTGGCTGAACATAAAAAAACTCTACTTACATTTAACAATAATATATTTACTGCTGGCCACACCTAATTACATAGAAATCTTATTGGTCGAAGGAATTTACTTTAATTATGAACAATTAATAAAAAACTCGAATATTTTCGCGCTGTTATTTCACGTCGTGCTTCTTCTCTCGGTTAATTCGACAACTCTTTCACGCCGTAGTTCTGACTTTCTGGACACAGGTCTCTCGATTCTCGATTACTCAACCGACACTCGTCTTTCACGCCGTAGTTCTGCCCGTTTACTCGCTCTTTCTCGAACACTGATTTTCTCTTGCCAAAGTTGCCTTTTTATATCATTGGTCCCTCCATTGTCTTGAATTTATTTATTTTTTCTTTCCTCGATTTTTCGTGGTTGAATCATCCGATCAATTAGTGTATTTGGTCCCCTTTTAATTAGTTATCAAGGGTGTCGCTAAGTGGTTTGTTAAGTGGGTATCATCATATAGGCTCGTGCATGATTTATTGATCCTTTTAGAAAATTTTCGGCTCCTTTGGAATGTTAATTGTTGAAAGCACTTGAAAAAAAGTTCCATGAACTTTTGCTTTATTCATATTACAATGTATTAGTCAACATAGGGTATCGGCTTCTAATAATTTCTGGATATCGATGTTCAGATAAATTTTAATTGAAGTTTCTGGTTGTGCTGTCTAATGCCCGTATTACATCTGTGTATTTTTCCGTGTATTTATTCATGTAGTTCAGGGTGACAACCGAAAAACTTCAAACGCAACATAAATCAGCATTATGAACAACAAAATAATGTTGGCACCCTGAACTACATGAAGAAATACACGGAAAAATACACAGATGTAATACGGGCATAAGTGATGATCTCTCCTGGGATGGTTGTTTGGTAAGTCCTTGTTATTCTTGATTAAAATTTCTGTAGTCACTACAGTTGCTTGTTTCCATATTTAACGACAAATGAGAAAGGAAATATAGGAACATTGGTAAACATATTGTGTTTCTCGACTTTTATCAGTGTGGACACGTTGTTGCTGGGTCCCAAAATTCGAAACTTAGCCGTTGTGTGTGCGTAAATTAAACTAAAGTTCATTTCACGAAGGTTTGTACTTTTGATATCGATAATGTCATGACTTGGAGAAAAAGGTTTGTCGTATATTGATTTAATTTATATAAATTCAATAGCGTTCAGATTTTGTATTGTGAATGATTTTTGGTTTAAAAATGAACGTTTTTGACATTCGCAATGAGGAGCCATGGTGTGGATAGAATGTTTACGGAAATTTTGCTGTTGTTTCTGTTTCTATAAACAGGTTGCGGTAACTAGCAACAAAATGTTCCTATATGTATTTCTTTGGTGTGGACTAAGCTTAATGGATTATCAATCATTGGGATATTGGACATAGGACGATATGCCAGAAATCAAGGAATTAGAAGAAAGCACTAGCCTAAAAGAAACAAATAACGAGTAAACAGAAAATATAATCATTTCCTATAGAATCATCCAAGGATAACAAAAATGTGAACTGGAAGCAACTGATGATAATATTGATGGAGAAGCAGATATGTATTGATTAAAGTGGGGGTACAAGATGAAAATGCTCATAATGAGTTTGAAATAGTATATTATGATATAAGTGTACAAGGCCTTTAAAGCATGCGCGACATATTTCAAAACACGATGCGCAGCGGATTGTTTTGTAAGATACAAACGTTGGTAAACGCTTTGAGATTGTTCTACTGAACGCTACGTTGAATTTGTGTTGAAATCAAACATGTTTTGCAAACGGTCGCCATTTTTGCAAGCATAATTTGAGAGTGTTTATAATTTTCAACATTTTGTGTTTTATGTGGTGACATGACATTCAGAAGGTGTCGTTCTATCATTGAAAAGCTGAATCGTTCAGCAGTCTGGACACAACAAAATTAAAAGTCTCTTAAACAATGCAAGACTATCACAGTTTTTAATGGCAGGAGGAAAGCTGTTAAACTCAGACAATCCTCTCTGAAAAATAGAAGTAAATGCAAGACTAGAATTGGAGTCTCCCAGTATAAAATCATTGCAATTTCTAGTATTATAACTGTGAATTTCACTGAAGAAAACCCTAACTCTATAGCGAACATAATCTGGCAATAACCTTTCCCTAACCCTAAAAATAAACAAACAAACATTTAAACATTATTTTTTGCAGACAAAATATTGAGGACATTTAACATAGTTTGAATCGGTGTGTATCGGTCTTATTTCAGAACAGTTCTCATGGCTCTATTCTGGATAAATTGAATTTGTTTAAGTTTAAAATCTGGCAGATTATACAGAATTGTAGAACAGAACTCCAAATGAGGTGCGTCTATGCTATTATATAATAATAATTTAGTATTGATGGACAAACTTTTCGATACTCTATAAATAAAACCTACTTTTTTGGAAAATTTGTTCATGACATAGTCAGCATGCGCATGGAAATTTAGGTTTGAATTGAAAATGACACCCAGGTATCTGATTTCTTTTTCATGTTCTAGTCTAACATTATTTATACAAACATTCAATTCATCAACATTAATATTTAGGTAAAATTTGTTTCGCCAGGGTTTGTACTTGCCACCAGCATTTGCCTTCCTTATTTAACAAATAAAAATTGACTGAAACAAATTAATGACGTCAAAAACGTTTGTCAATTCTTAAAAGGAAAGTCATTCATTT